AAATTCATCAATAAGTACAGATTTCAAAACAAAGAAACAAACAAATTATCAATTTTTTCATAATCAATAATTATAAAATAATAAACAAATCTATATTAAAATGTAATACTTATAACTATTGAACTAGAACAAGAAGACTAAGAAAAAGAGTTAGTCACGTTTTTCTTTTGAAAATTAAGATTTAATTTATAATTTATATATAGATATTTTTTATAAATATTAATATTTTAAATTTATAAGTGAAGTTAATAAATTATAAAAATAACTATGTCCAATAATAAAATATGTACCTAAACTAAATTAAGAAACTAGAAAAATATAAATAATTTAAAATTTAGTTTAAAAACCAAAAAAAACTTTTCGTTTGACGGTTTTTAACCAAACTAAACTCAAACCAAAACTATAAAAAAATAATAACCAAACGGATTTTTAGGTTTAACCATAATCAAACCATATCACTTTTTTAATTCAATATAGTTTAGTTTTTTCGGTTATAGTTTTTGTGCCACCCCAGTTATAAAAGAGATCATACAGAGAGGATTAACTAACCAAATAGAAATGATGTTCAATATTAATATAGATGTCAATTCGTATCATCATTTATTAATCCTCTATATAGATGCACCTAAACATGATAATAAATTCTCCGTAAATCATAGTTTCGTTCCATTCAACTCGAGGATTTATAATGTCCCAACATAAATCTAGAATTCAACAGTTTGAACATACTGGTATGTAGTCAATTCGAGAGTACAGTAGATTTATGGTGCATTATACCTACCACTATTTAAGTTTGTATTAGATGAACTAACCCAGACTATTAAATACTGAAATAAGGAATTTAGTACGAAGAGGTTGAGTTTCTTCCATTGCTTCCAACAGCAGGTCTTAAAGCAGTCCTCAAGGCCTCGGAGTCAAGAAGTCATATGCTTTTTAGACTTTCAGACTTTTCATTATACAATTATTTTATGTCAGATTTGTCTTCGAGTAATTAATGTTGTTATTGACTCAGATTGGCGATTGGAAAAAAAAAAGCAACTCAAATAAATATCTTTCTAATCGCTATCTTAAAAAGTAGCACAACAAATATCTGTTTTTCTTTGTTGATAGGAAATATCTTTCTCTTTTTTTTTTGTTTATAAGAAATAGTAGTACTCCTCTTTTTAAGTAGTAGTAAAAACGAAGGTAAAAAGCCAATCGGGAGAAAAAAGCAGCAAAATAAAATATCTGCTTTTGTTGTTAATCAAGAAGACAAAAAGCAGTTTATGAAGGATTTTGATCATTGCACTAATATTTCTATTGCTGTATATATTTATCCCTAATTAATCCGGTGGCATGTCAAACATTATTGTTTCACTGTTTCCTACGTTTTCAGTTTTTTTTTCTTTGAGTCAATAAGTATTAGTATCTTTTTACCTCTTTGTTTATTGATAATATGTTCTACAAAATTGTGTTGCTAGCACAAGCTGCCGCCTATCAAAACCATAATTACGTTATAATAATGGGTCTGATTAGCAACTAACTCTACCCGTAATTTAAAAACTTTAGAGAAAACGCGGTTAATCATCGCGATAATAAAAATTAGGCTAATTAATAATGGTAGTGGTCACAAAGCAGAGAGCACAATGTTGTGTCATGTTGGACAACTACTTAAGGGACAAGCAAATCTTTTTAAGCTGCATTAGCCTAACTTGACACGTATGAAGTCCGAAATTAGTTTATTTTTTGCCGACCTCAAAGGTGATCAGATTCCTACAAATGTGACGTAATGATTATCATCGTTCATTACAAATACAAAAACATCTCTGGTGCTTAGGAAGTGTTTGTACGTCACATGATCAAGCATAGTATTTAGTGTTAACCATGATATAAAATGTAAATTTATTGGAATAAATATTGATAATAGTATATTGCTATTTGCCTTTTTTTTGTGTGTGTGCAAATTATATTGCTATTTGCCTATTTACTTAAATAAGTACGCGAATAATGAATACTAATATGGTAAAGAATGGACAGTAGACTCCAGCTAAGCGAAAAGGCTAATTAGGAGCGCCTAATTATTGATTAGTGAAAGCCAAAGCCACCGGTTTCGGGAGTCTAATCATTTCCCCATTACTTATTCATCGAAATTCGCATTCTTCCAAACTCCATTGGTATCAACACTACCCGGATTTATAAATAATTCGTAATCTAATCACACCTTTTTCTTAACACAATCTGAGTTTGATTTAGTCCTATGTCGTATCCTAGGCCTAGCACCTTTTTTTTTTTTTTTTTTTTTATCTCAGTGAAAATCACTCTTTATCATTATTGCTATTATGACCAGTAAATCGTTCCTTTTGGATTTTAGAAGCTTCCAAATATTTATAATTAATTCTGTTCAAAGTTTCTTACACTTGTCCATTTGTTTTATTACCAAATACTCATTCCGTTTCAAAATATATAATGTTTTAGATATTTTACAGTTATTAAAAAAATAATTATTTATTTTTTAAAGTAATTTTTGTTTGTTTATTAATTTAATATTGATTTTTTATATTTTTATTTAAAAAATTGTCTTGAAAAAAATATATATTAAAAATAATATAAAAAATCAATTTTTTTAAAACAAAATAAAAATCCAAAACATTATACAATATAGAACCGAAAAGATATACCACATACCTTCTCAGTATACCCTCTTTCCTCGAGATGCTTGTGATAATTACGCTGTATGAAGCTGCAGATTCGTATAAACGAAATCTCTAATCGTCCTAGAACTGGGAGATTAACCTTGGAAATGAATAATTTTAAATGACCATAGCTATAGTACTCTTTGCTTCATATTTTGTGTACCAGTTAATCTAAGGAGGTGGTATTGGATAATTGAATTAAATAAAATTTACAAGAATTTAAAAATAATCAATTTCTAAGTAATTCAAAGTGTTTTGTTGGAATTTAAACTAATTCTATCAAAATCAGAGTAAAAATGATAAGAATTGGTTCTTTATAATTTTTATGTAAGATTCTATTAAATTCCTTCCAAATAATAATAGAATCAAAGCTATTACAAAATTGAATAACATAAATATTTAATAAAATTGAAAAATTAATATATTGAATAACAATGGTATTTAAAGTATTTTAGAAATAATGAATAGAAATCATTAATCCAATAACACAGATATTTAAAAAAATTAATAATATATAATTAAATAACAGTGATATTTAATAGAATTTTTAATTTTCTACAATTCAATCCAATTTCTGAATCCAATATCTTCACCTAAAAAGATCAAATATCTAAAGTGTAATACTTTAGTATCCTCTCGTGGGCCATTATATACAACTTCGTTCGAAACAACCCAAAACTCCTCTTTTACAGATTTTAGGCCCAGACCATTACTAACCCAAATATAATCTGATGTGGGTCGGTCTGATCGGGTTGACGCGTTTGCATGACTGGTATTTTATTTAACCCTATCTGGCTTTCTCAGATTCATTTCTATATATATGTAAAGATGATGTTTTGCAGTTTAGGTAAGAGATAGTGGGTAATTTAATAGAGATAGGTTCGATGAATGGACGCATGATAAAAAATCAGTTTTACACCTAAAGAAGAGATTAAATCTTAATGAGGAAGACAAAGTGCATTAGTTCCTTTTGGGATTTAATGTCGTTTGTATACGTAAACACTTGTGAACGCGTTCTTGGCACGTATTCTAAAGATGATGATGTGTAATCTTAACAAAGGCCAATTTCGTGGATCATGTGCGATTTTTGATGCAGCACTGTGAAGAAGATGGTACTCAATCTGCGTTTACAAATCGCAAACGCAAATCGCAAATGACACGGAAGAAAAGGCATTTCCAGATTTCCTGATAAACAAAAACACTCTTTTTTTTTTTTAATGACATGCTAAAATCCTGTTTGCCTTAAAATCTATTTGCCAAAATTTGTTAGATTCCAATCTAGTCACTTTCTCAATATAAAATATTCAAAAATTTCTATAAATGGACTAATGTGCCAAATCAAGGATATTTCATTCTTTATGCTCTCATATATTCCGGGTTGAATATAAATAAATAAATCAGGATTTATTTGTCAAGTAAATTAAATGGATAATACAGCAAATTACTTTAGTTGCCAATTTTTTTTTAACCTTTTTTTGGTTATAGCAAATGACTTTTAAAAATCTACTCACGGGGATAATATAACTTTAAATAAAACGGAAGAGAGGGCCGATTTCAGAAAAATCGTATAATTCAGGCTCACTCTCCTCGCCGCGGAATCGCCTTTCGAACCTCGAAGGGTCTCTCTAGGGTTAAGAGAATCTACCCATAATCTCCCTTCATCTGCCTCAACTGATTTCGATTCTCTTCAGTTCCGATCAAGTTTCTAGGTTTTGATTCCTCTCCGTTGATGGTCTTCTTAATGTCTTGCTGTTAATTTTCTAGGGTTTTAGATCGATTCTCTTGTTTTCTGTCACCGAAAAGCATAAAACTTGACTGGTGCTTGATTGAATTTTGCACCTGGTAGCGATTTTTTTTTGTTTTTTGTTTTTTTTTCAATAGTTCTCGAAGTTGAGCTTGCGGAGCCGTGTTTATTGATGATCACATCTTTACCAGTTTTCTTCTTCGTCTCTTTTCTCGAGCTGGAGTAATTATAAAATGTTTTTTTCCTCGTGAATCAGATAACCACTGTCCAGCTTGACGGGGTTTTCGGAGATTTAGCCAACGAATTTAATCTTAGGCAAAGCTATTGAGGTTTATTGTCTCTCCTACACTACAAGTTGTCTCTTTTTAAGTTTTCTATGTGCACGAAGGATTTCTTCTAACAGATTAAAAAAAAAGCGTCGAGTTTTCTTAGTATTTGATGAGTCTTTTTTCGTGATCAAAAGGCTTTGTCTTTGTTGCAAGGTGGCAAAGTTATTTGCTTTGTGTAGGCTTCATTGCAGCTCAGATAGCTAAATGTAATTTGATGATTTTGTTTTTACAGGTGTTACAAAGGGTTTTAAAAAGATGGGACACAATGGCAATGAACGTGAGATCGAGGCATCTCAACTTGCTAGTGCTATGGTTGAGATAAATATCAAGACATTGGATTCTCAAACGCACACATTACGTGTAGATAAATGTGTAAGATAAACTTCGTCATCGACATTTCTTTGATGTTTCATTTTCTTTATCACGAATACTTAATCGCTTATACTATGAAACTCGTTTTCATCTTATTCTCAGTTTGAGCATACTACCTGTAATGCCTGTATTTCGTCACATATATGTGTTGCATAATGATTAATGAAGTCTATGATACCAATGCTTTGACTAAAATCGTGGAACTAATGCCTTATTTTAGTTTCTCTGTGGCCTATATATCCTTTTTTATATATTTTCTTTCTGTTTTTCTTGTTTCACTTCAGGTTCCTGTTCCCGCACTGAAGGAGCAAATTGCTTCTGTGACTGGTGTTGTTACAGAACAACAACGCTTGATATGTCGTGGACAAGTTATGAAGGATGATCAACTCCTATCAGCCTATCGTATCCTTCTGTTTTTTTCTAGCACACTGTCTTGGTTCTTTCTTAGAGCTTCTGCTTCAGTTGTGAACTCTAGTTTGCTGATGTAGTTTAACATACCCTTGGCTTTGACTCCTTTGTTGTTAATACAATTTTAGTGTCGTAAGATAGCTTGTAAGTTCTGTTTCTTCTTCCCGATAAAATTCTTTAATGGGTATATCTTAGATGTTGAAGATGGCCACACTCTCCACATGGTTGTCAGACAACCCATTCCACCATTATCAGAGAGTGCAACTACTAACGGAGGTTTGTTTCAAGTTCCCTTGCAAATTTTTGGTCCAAAAACTTGTTCATAAACATTTTTGCAATTCTATTCTCATGATACTTTTGCTATTGCCAATGCCTTTGGTGACATATTTTTTTTCTCGACATGCTAAGTGGAAAACTTGTTATTTTCAGCGGCTGATCCTGCTTTGAGTGCTGGTGACAGCCAGGGCAGTCAACGATCACGTGTTGTAGTCGGTTCCTTCAACATTGCTGAGCAAGCAGATGGAATCTATTCAGACCTTGGTCAGGTGGGCCTCTTTTATCTGTTTGATCTGTTTCTATTTTTTTTTGTTATTCATGAGCCATGTTTCATGTCTGGCAGATTGTTTCAGCTGTTCTCGGTTCACTTGGGATATCTAGTGCAGAAGGTGGTATTGAAGGGCTTGATGCTATGGTAATTGCTTAAACTTTTTACGAGTTCTTATAAACGGGTTTAGATGTAAGCGGCTTTACTATCTTTGCCAGGGTCCTCTTCATGAGAGGTTGTCTCGGAGTTCTGGTCCTGACACTGCAAGAGATTCTTCTGGAGGGCGATCTGCCACACCAAATTCTGTGGACCAGACGTTTACTCCCCTTTCATCTTCACAACCAGCAGTACTTGCTCCCCTGTTTCCATTATTTCTCATGTTACACAATTTTTGCGAGTAAGGTGCATTATGTTCTTGTTCATGAGAGCGCTCTTCTTTTGCCACTGCAGGCGATTCCAGATTCGTTGACTACCTTATCTGAGTATCTGAACCATCTGAGACAAGAATTTGCTGCTAATGGTTAGACTTGTTTCTATTTTCTGGTTCTGTGTTGACAGTAAGTCTAGAGAGTCTGACAGTAGTACTGTGATTTTGGCAGGCAGCAACGCTAATAACTTGCAAGATTCTGAAAATTCAGTGGGCAATGTGCAAGAGTCTGGTTCTACTGCTGAAGAGACTCGGATCCCAAGACCATCTCATTTGGCAGAAGTGTTGCAATCGACAAGGCAATTGCTGACCGGTGAAGTAGCAGATTGCTTAACTGTATGCTCTTTTACTTTTCTCTCTTGCAGTCTTTTCAGAATGCCACTATGTCTTTGCTTATTTTGACCAGTCTTGACCAATGATAGCAAAAGTTATTGCACCATCAGATCAACTTATAACAGAGACCTCCAATCCCCAAAAACTTATTATTTCTCACTTCTAGTGCCCTGGGCACAACCGTTTCCTTTTCGTGAATGTTGCAACTTGAGAAATATTAAAGTTAGTAAGGGTAGTTCAACATGTGTTGTTGGTATCTTTTGTTTTAACTGATTGACTCGAACTGGCATTGGTTACTCAAAGCCGGGGAAGGGAATAACAATTTTGTATCTGGCTTCTGCAGAATCTCTCAAGGCAGCTCGTGGATCATGTAAATGTGACTGATCCGTCAACGCGAAGGTTGTGCCAGTCAAGCATGCTTCAGTCAGGATCCCTCTTGGAGAATCTAGGCATTTCACTTCTGGAGCTTGGCCGTGCCACCATGATGCTCCGTTTAGGACAAACACCGGTGTGTATACTTTTGCTACATATTATGGATATAATTCTTACACTTTCGTTAGTTTTCCGTCGATTTCTGTTCACAAAATATGATATACCCCATTATTTATAAAACCCTTGCTATGTTAAATGTCAGGATGATGCGGTTGTTAATGCTGGGCCTGCAGTGTTCATATCCCCTACAGGGAGAAATCCCTTGCCGGTTGGCCTCTCTGTTTTTCTCTCTCGCCCTTACCAGTGTGTCTCCTTTGTCATTTTCACCTTTACCTTTGTGTCTACCTATCTAATTCTTGTAGTCCCACTCCTCTCGGCTGGGAGCGAGTATTGGAGGGTTACAAGCAGGACCTGGACAATTGCTTGCCTCTGCCCCAAGAAATATTGAGATAAGAATACGCACAGGTAAGTATAACTGTTTCTTTCTGCTATATTGAAAATTTCAGATAAAGTTCTGTTTTTTATTATCTTTTATTTGAATTCATCTTTGTAATATGTTATATTAGGATCTTGGATGCATTCCGGTGAGGCCAACCAGAGAGAAGAAAGTCCTACACAGCAATCCCCTGGGCAGGCAATTCCACCTGCAGCTAGCGGCATTACTGATTCTGCCCCCTCAATGAGAGGCCCGTCTGAAACTCCTCGAAATCCCGTGGCCTTAGTTATACCCGTTGTTGCTAGATATCAGGTATCTTCTGGTGAACGTAGCTCTACTGGAATTGATGGTGTACATCAGCCTGTTGCTGAATCCTCTAGGCAGCCACAGAGCACCAGTGCTCCCGGAAGAGAAGGTTGTTTTAACATGACTTTCGCCACACTCTCTGCTGATTTCTAAGTTGAAATGTCGATAAGAGTTAACTTCACTTAAGTTTCCTCCTTTTCTTTTTACTGGGGTTTCTCAGTACTATGTTTTTCCGTTGCTGTTTTGACTTTGATCTTCTTAGAACACGTAGATGTTGCAGTACCAAAAGAAAGGGATATGTCATTAATCTTTGTTTCTTTGACTTTGAACATGTAGGTGATAACAGTTCTTCTACAGGCGGTCGAGGTTTGTCTGAGTTAAGGAACAGAATCAATCAGTTTTTGAGGCCCTTATCTCGTCGAGAAAATGTTCAAGTGGGGACCCCTCAGTCTGAGGTTGCAGCAAATCCGCCTGCCACAGAAACAAACGAAGCAGTTGCAAATGCACAAGTAGAGCCGGCAGCAACGGGGACAGATGAAGGGAATTTCTTATCAAGTGTTCTTCAGCAGATCATGCCCTTTATATCTCAAAACGTGCCCTCGAGCTCGGATGGAGCTGCAGGCAGAGGCAGCAACAGTGATAGACAAGCGTCTTCAAGAGAGGTACTAGTAATCTCCATTATTTCACCTTGTAACATGTTACATGTTTCTCTCTTTCCTTAGAAGCCTATGGCAATATGTCATTGATTGACTTGTGTAATTCGTGTTGGAGGGTTGGGTTAGTGAACGAGATTATCCTTGAGCTATGGGATGTGTATATACACAGATTAATCATATATAACTTATCGAATCACTTGCTTAAGGGTTATATAATCTTATAAATGATTGGGAATATTTGAATGAGTTTTTTGATTGTGGATAAATTTGAGGTGCAGGAGGAAAGAATGGAGAGAGGGGATTCAAGCCGGAGAAGTGAATCGTCGCCTCCAGAGTCAAAGCGTCAAAAGGTAAAATTGAATTAGTCATGACCGATAGTAAGAGATACGTATAGCTTATATTTTTATATATCTAAATATGTGGTGATGTTTATGCAGAGAGAGTGAGTGATTGTTGGCGCAAAAAACAAAAGAGTGGGAAAGCACACTTTTTGAAGAATGGTTAGATCTTTTGCTTCTTGGGTAATTTATTCTGAGCTTTGTGACTGCAGAGATGGTTGACATGTCAATGGTATCGGTCGTGTTACCCAAAACATATCCATTTTTTATTTATAATGATGTTATTTCCATCAGTTTTTGAAGTGAATTTATAAAACATAAGTGCATGCATATACAAGACTTTCCAACTAGAACCGAAACGGAATAAACCGTACTTACTCGAGAGATTTGAATTGTTGAAAGTTCTCGCACTAGGGAATCATATAGGGAGGATGAGAGGTTTATAGAGTGAAGATGAAGGAAAGTCAAAAGCGAAGTTTGTTGGCCAAATAATAGATTCTACACAGTAGTTTTGGTTATTAGGGTTAGGCTTTTAGGGCTTTAATGAGCGGAACAGCGTAGCGGACCGGTCTAGTTTCAGAAATGCAACTCTTTTCGATAGTTACAAACATTTGTTCGAGTTTAAAAAAAAAGGAAAACGTAAGTGAAATGCGTAAGTAGTCAATATGTTCTTTGGGACTGGCCAATATGTTCCAAGGTGTTTGTACAATACAAAACCTTCGTAATTTTTCTCAAATCCAATTCTTCCAAAGTGACTTCTTGAGATTACTACTTTGACCGAACAACAGTACTTTGCCTTGTGAGTTTACATCTTAGAACGTAACATGAGTATCTGTATACCAAACCATTAGTAGTAAATGCTGAAAACACACAAATCAGCATCTCTTAAGCCATCTCGTTTACACTTCATAATTCGATGATATCCTCTTTGTTTTCGATTCAAATCATTTCAAGTCTCGTCGATTTCTTCTCATTTGCGCTTTGAGCCATACATAGAGGTGCTGAAAGCTTAAAGCTTCAAAGGTAAACAAACAAAAAAAAAGAAAAGAAAACAAAGTCGAGACGTCTCACAGTTGTCTACCGGCGGCATCAGCTACAAAAGGGATGTAAGGCGTCTTTCCGACCAAACAGCTCACGACTCCGTACACAAAACACATGAAGCTGAACACAAACACTCCCGTGTGTCCCCACATCATCGCCTTCATCCCAAACCCACCTCCCTGACCCGGATCCAGTATCCTTGTCAGCAACACCGGAACCGCCAGCAGCACATCCAGCGTCACCGCCTGCATCGCGTTGAATCTCACGTACCTGCTGAAACTCGTGTTCCTCACCACTCCCAGGTACAGCCCGAAGAAGGCCACGAAGCTCGCGTACGGCACCGACCTGTACAGGTTTAGTATCGGGAAGATCGGCTCCACGAGTAGTCCCAGACGAGGATACTGCGCAAACAGGAACCGACCGTACTGCAGCGAATTGAAGAACGGCAGCGCGTACGACGCGATTGCGATCACGCGCTCCGTCGCCGGCGTTGGGGTGTAGGAGGCGCGTGTCGTCAAGGTGACGGCGCGTCGAGTTGAGGGGCGGATGGAGACGGTGGATCTCGGGAAGGAGATGGTGAGTGGTCTTGCCCTGTGAGCCGCCAAGGGAGTTAGGTTTTGGTGGAGAGATAAGCACAGAGACGCCATTTTCGTCTATCTTTGTTTTTTTGCTTCGGAGAGTAAAAAAATATTTGAGTGTAAGCATTTCTACTAAAAACAAACCGACCAAACCAAAAATCAAAAATTATAATTTAGTTAATATTTAACCAGCGCTAAACCAAAACCGAAATCAATTCTAGTTAAAGTTAAGATTTGAGAGAAAAAATACAGCCATTTTAAATATCTTCTTCATCAACAACTACCAGAGAAGCAGAAGAAGAAGAAGACGACGACGACTTTGAAGAACTCTGCTTTCATCTCAAATCTCCAATCTCTCTCCGATGGGTTGCGGTGGAACTCTGTTCTACCCAGTTCTCATATCGCTCTCCGTTGCTCTAATCACATACAACATCCTCATCTCTGCTAATGCTCCTCTCAAGCAAGGATTTCCCGGCCGATCTTCTTCCTCCTCCGATATCTCCGACGACCCGGTCATCGAGTTGCCACGTGGAGGATCCAGAATCCGCGGAAGCGAGAGGAAGCGGAGGCTGTTCCACACGGCCGTGACGGCGTCTGACTCCGTCTACAACACGTGGCAATGCAGGGTCATGTACTACTGGTTCCAAAAGGTTAAGGATTCCGCTGGACCCGGCTCCGAAATGGGTGGGTTTACCCGGATCTTGCATTCCGGTAAACCCGATAAGTACATGGATGAGATTCCTACTTTTGTTGCTCAGCCTTTACCCTCTGGGATGGATCAGGTAATATCAAAAATCCTAATTCGAATTTAATTTTGTCTTCATTTGACGAATCGAACCATTGATTCGAGTGAGGTTTTTGGTGAATCACAGGGTTATGTAGTGTTAAACAGGCCATGGGCATTTGTACAGTGGCTTCAACAAACTGACATTGAAGAAGAGTAAGAAAGCTTTGATTTTTACACTTGTTTGATATAATTAACTAAAGGGGAAGTTCTTGTGTACTGAACATGTTGATTTGGTTGTGTATTATGCAGTTATATTCTGATGTCTGAGCCTGATCACCTCATTGTTAAACCTATACCAAACCTAGCCAAAGATGGGCTTGGAGCTGCGTTCCCTTTCTTTTACATCGAGCCGAAAAAGTACGAGAAGGTGTTGAGGAAGTATTATCCAGAAGGAAGAGGACCTGTAACCAACATCGACCCGATAGGAAACTCTCCTGTCATTGTGGGAAAGGTCTGTTTTGTTCTGAACCATTTTTGGGATCAGGTTTTGAAAAAGGGCATATCTCTTAAAAAAAAATTAGATGTTGTGGTGTTTCTAGGAAGCTTTGGAGAGGATTGCTCCAACTTGGATGAATGTTTCTTTGGCTATGAAGAAGGATCCTGAAGCAGACAAGGCTTTTGGATGGGTTCTTGAAATGTACAAATTTTTTTTGATCAAAACCAGTTTTTCTCTTTTCCTTTCTTTTCGATTAAGTAGATTTGACTAAAGCTTTCGTTATTTTTTTTTGTGTGGAAGTGTAGGTATGCTTATGCTGTTTCATCTGCATTGCATGGTGTTAGCAATATTCTACACAAAGACTTCATGATTCAGGTAACTCTATACACGCATTTTTTTTGGTATCTGGTAAAACTGTATATTAAAGCGTGTTGCATTTATGAATGGAGGAGCCAAAAGTGTGTCACCGTGCTTGAAGGATACTCAGTTACTATTTGTATGAACTAGTACGATACAAAATGAATAATTAATTGCAGTAGTCCAAGAAATTGTTAATCTAGAGTATCTGTGATATATTTTCCCTGACTTCTCTGAACTTCGTTAAATTTCCATCAATAACATGAGTTTGAAGACAATGAAATAATTATTGTTGATGGACTTTGGTTTGGTTGTGTTTGTGGTAATGAATCAGCCTCCATGGGATACAGACGTTGGTGACAAGTACATCATTCACTACACTTATGGATGTGACTATGATATGAAGGTAAGATCTCGAAATCTGATTATAATTTAAGAACAGGAGACCAAAAGAATGAATAAATACAATCTTGAGAACTTGATTTCTCTTCCACATAGAATTTTCAATTGATAAGAGAATATGTAAAAGAGTGATTGTGGTGATTTCAGGGTCGCTTAACCTATGGGAAGGTTGGGGAATGGAGATTTGACAAAAGATCGTATGATAGCACACCACCACCAAGGAACCTTACAATGCCACCACCTGGTGTTTCACAGAGTGTGGTATGTTTACATTTTCTGATATATATTAAATGTATATGATCATTACAAACATATCTCAGTTTTCTTCATTGATGTATTTGCAGGTAACATTAGTGAAGATGATAAACGAAGCTACGGCAAACCTTCCGAACTGGGGATCATAGAGAGACAGAGAGGAGCAGTTTCTTTTTTACTTGTATGTTACCCACCCATTTCTCTTCAAAAATACGCTGCCGTTTCGTATGTAAAATATATAGCATTTCAAACAAAACCTTTGTTTACCATTTTACTTCTCCAATTCTCTGAGGTCTCTACTAGATTTTTGATGTCCTCAGAGCAATCCCAAAGGATGATAGATTACAACCTTCATGACGGTCTTATTAAAAGGTACTGAAACTTTAAAACTAAAGATAAAAATGGATGTATCTTCCGTCACAAGTAAACGGCCAAACCAATGCGCACCACTATCAAAAACTCAACCTCATAGCGTACTGAGACAGCATTACTTGCTTAGAGTACCGATCCAAGCCGGTGGCTGCATCCCGGTCTGCTCATAAACCGTATCGAGAACCGGAGGCAACATTTTGTAAAGCCCAGCTATATCCTTCATAGCATTCCCACTACCACCACTAGTCCCCTGTTCTCCACCGTGGTTCCAAACGCTGATCTTGGGCTGCAAGTCTTTAACCGCAACCGCGTTAATCTTAGCGATCTCCAGATAAGAGCCATTGTTAATCATCAGGAAGTCTCTAAGTGCAGAAGTCATTGTGAAGAGCGTCAAGGAGGGTTCTGAGGTAAGTCCCCTGAGCACTTGCCAAAGCAACAAGTCCCTCTGCTTCTTTCTGCTTTGAGTAGAACGCTGCGTCTGCTGCAGCTCTCTGTGCCTCTGCCTCCTTTTGCTTCTCGTATAGAATTGCCTCCGCTTGCTTCTGCTTGTTGTATAGTTCCCAATTCGCTTCTTGAACCTTTAAACAGCAGTAATGTTAAAATGAATCGAAAATAAAGAGGAAGAGAGAGAGAGAGAGAGAGAGAGAGAGAGAGAGAGAGAGAGAGAGATACTACTATAGTACATACCTTTGTCTCATACTCAACACTGGCTTTGCTAAGGAACTCGGCCTTAAGCTTCTCCGTCCGAGTCAACGCGTTCATTTTCTCGACCTGAGTCTGAAGCTCAGCTTCTCTTAAAGCCACTGCCTTGGCTGCTTCAACCTCAGCAACCTGAGCATCTTTAGTCCAAGCGGCTTTCTTCATGGCAAGCTCAGCATTGGCCTTAGCAACATCAGCCTCCTTCTGATTCTCAAACACTTTAATCTCAGTCTTCACTCTGATCTCTTCCTTAGTCCCTTCTCCTTGCCTCTGCATCGATATTATCTTTGACTCCGCGTCGATTTTCGCAGCGTTCTGAAGGGTAAGCCCGTTACGTTCCTTCGCGCCGATCTCTCCCTTCATCTTGGCCTCAGAGACATCGATCCTCGCCTGATTCGCCGCTTCCATTTGTGTTTTCTGACCCAAGTAAGAGAAGTACTCGTGTCCTGGCACATCAACGAGCTGCTTCACGTTTGCGTTGTAGATCAAGAGACCGAACTGGTCTAGTTCTAGCTGAACCTTATCAAACACCTCCTTCTTAAACTCCTTTGTCCCTTCAAACCCATAAAATCAAAAAACACTTTTTAACCAAAAAGTCTGTGTAGTGTTGCATCATTTCTTATGAACAGAGAGCTCCAAATATATTATAACTTGAACGAACTTAAACCAATCAAATTCTTAAGAGTTATATATATATATATATATACGCAATTGAAAATGTTTCCTGAACTTTAAAATCAATCAACAAATATATAGAGATAAGTAAATGCGTGGAGTTTTTACCTTTGAAGATCTCTTCCATGGTCATGGAAGCAGCGAGGACACGAGTCTCTCCTTCGATGACACCTTCAACGAGCTCATTGACGTGGTTAGATTGTTTGTCGTGAGGGGAGATGAGCCTGGCGTAGAGAATCAGCGCTTCAGGGTCGTCGACGCGAGGACCGATTGTGAAGACGGCGGGGAGAATGAAAGGGAGTTTCTCTGCGCTCATGGCCTGGACTTTGAAAGTGTAGTTGACCGGAGAAACGTCGAAGACGGTGCAGGATTGCCATGGAAACACCCATGACTTCTTCGAGAGCTTGATGTCTTCGATCCCAGCACCGGTGATCGCTAGATACTCTGAAGCCGTTGCGACCTTGTACATCTCTAGGATCTTGTGGTTTTATGAGTTTTTAGGTTTCGTGAGGACGGTTTTGAGTTTATATATCGTCGAAATGTTTAAGAAAAGGTCATGAAATGAAACTTGACAAAACGAGTAATTTATAAATGTCAACCTATTTCCAAGAAAGTACACACAATCTTATTTTTAAAAATAATGTAATAGATCAACATTGAACAAGGCCAGCTGAATTGAAATTTTTTAGCGAAGCCATCGCCATTCGCAAAGGCGGCTAAGATCTTTCATTTCAATGACAGTTGACTGAGAAATTAAAAAAAAAAAAAATCCTTTTGTAGCAAAAATTATCTATCAAGAAAAATAGAGAAAGAAATTATGTGTAAAACAGTAAAAATATGATCTTTCTATAAACGTGGAAATATGATTAGATCATGAATGAAAATTGAACGCTCAATGCAAAAACAAACGTGTGTAAAACACGAATATGATCATTTTAATGCAAAAGATGATTCCAAGATCTGTTTTTTTAAGTAAAATGAGATAAATTTTCGATAAAATCAATGATCTCATAACATAATTATGAATTTCGGGGATGAAAAACTTCAGGATTTCATATAGAATAGGACAAACTTTTGCTATTTAAAATATTTTTTTGTTTGTTTGTTCAGAGCTATATAAAATATAAGATCAAGATTTAAATTCGTTTAATGTATGTTTTGGCATATATATTGACATGATGCCATTAACGTGCGCTTTTATCTTTCAGAATCGCGACTAATATTTCTCGTTTATCAAAATTTACCGTAGGTTTGTAAATTAAGTCCTTTTACAGAATACCACTATTTAAAACTAGAGTAAATACTTTCTTTTATGAGCTTTTCTTTTGCTACATGTAAGATAGCAAGATTCACTTACTTTAAGATTAGGTTGAGTATTACTTTAAACAAAAAAAAAAAGTAATCCATAAACCATAATGCAATCTTTGTTATGACGTTAGGAGGACAAAAACATAATGATTAAAGAAAGGTGATTGATTAGAGAGAGTCATCGTTATAGCTAAGATTGGACAGCCTTTTAAAAATTGTCACTCACTTGGTTTGGTTTATTTATTTAACAAATCTCCACACCACTTTTGCCTTTTTAACCCAACGGCTAATCATAATTTGCCAGGCTGCTAACCTTTAATTGTTGTCTCTCTTTCTTTCTTTTTGTCTTACTTATTGTCAATATCACTCACTCTGCTCTCTATGGTCTAGTTTTTTTTCTTCTGTTTCTCTATTCTGCAATACAACTAATAAACCAATATAAAATCACTATGATGTGGTGGTTTTTAGATAATAAATTTGAACAGTTCGAATAAAGTCGCAACCTATATAATTATCTGACTGTAAATAGTTATTGAATTGGCCGGTGTTTTTCGATCTAATATTTATATAGTTATTGAATTACTATTTTTTAAAAAATTTAAACTAAATTCCGATTATTATTCTTTTTGATGAATAATATTGTATTTTACTGATAGAAACTATAAGAAGTTAAAATTGTTTAATCAACATGTCACTTTCATCAAATTATATCTTACGAGATTCAAATAATTTGAATGAGCTTTTCTATGTAAATCATCAATACATGATTTTTTTCATATGGAAGTTTATTCCAAGGCAGCAGCAATTTATAAATGTTTTTAGCAGGTTGGAATTATGTTTTTGGGAAGGGTATTTTTCTGTATATTGAAATGGTATTACTACACTTTCAAAATAAAAAAGACTAAAACCTAAACTATATACATTAAACCTAAAGATGAAACCCTTAAAACTATCTTTTATCCATTTTAAAATACTAATTTAAACTACAAATTATGTAGAAAAAAAAAGTTAGTTATATTACGATATAAATTCATTAAATTTTAAAAATATTTTATAAGAGAAAAAAATCACAGACACTTATTTTTTCTTAGAATAATAATTGTCTACACTTTTCACTTTTCAGATAACGCAATCTTGTTTATTTATTTTGGTATATCATATGCGCCAAACTTATTTACTCTATAATATCATTTCATAATTATCCTTCAAGACAAAAGAAGAAAAAAAAAAAAGAGAAAGCAACCGTTTCACTCCCGCCTTCACAGCTGGCTTTCATGATTAGCCAGCGATATATAAATCGTTCCTCTCACACCCCTGTCACTCTATTTGAATAACAGTCCAATGAGAGACCCCATCAGTATATAGTCCAACGGTCGATACGCCACGTGGCGTAATCTCATTCATCTATGTATATAAATATCTGTCTGATATTTTTTTGTTCGAGTCTCTTCTTTTAATCATTTACAAACCAAATCTCTCAAAAGAGAGAAACCCTCTCTGTTTTATCACTAATGGCCACCACAGATCGAGAAAATCTACTCTCGGATGATTACGAAGAAACGGCGGCGTTTTGCGGGTGTGGGTATTTCCGTAAATTTAGTCTAATCCGGTGGCGAAGAGGAGGAGGAGGCAGTGGCTGGAGCGGAAGTTTGCAGGAGGAACTAGGAGAAAGCTGGTGGAGCAAGAAACTGAAGGGGCTAAAGGAGATTTCGGAGAAAATTGCGGGGCCAAAATGGAAAAACTTCATAAGAAGTTTTAGCAATGGAAAGAAGAAGATGAAGAGGGATGTGGATTTCACTTACGATCTCAGGAACTACAGTCTTAATTTTGACGACGGCGGAGAAAATCCGTCACCGGAGAGGTTTGTAGCTCCGGTTGTTATAAAAGTTTGATATTTTTCCTTCTGTATCATTTTTATTATAGCGTGTGTCGTTTATGTTAATACAAATATACACGAGTGGTAATAATAATTTCGTATCTAATTAGGTTTATAAGTTTATAGCTTGATGTTTCGATCGGCAGTACTCAAAATTAGATTTTTATATGATTACGTCGAAGATCTTGAAAACGTACCTCAGTAAGAATCTTAATACGTGTTGATGTTTGATATTAGCTTTTAATAGTTTGCTCATGAATAATTTGAGACAATATATGTATTAGTCGGAAACGTTACAAACGAAACAAAAAGATGAAGGGTAAACAATTGATTGACCATGTGAGTTTAATAAAAAAAAAATTCGTTGTTCTTTCTCTGCAATTATCTGAAGTATCATCAAATCATAAAGAGAGGATTCACAAGAGGGTTTTTTTTTCTTTAGAGTTCTTAGACTAACTACTGCTGATTTACATAAATACTATTTCTACTTTGATCAATAAAAACCAAAAGATCAGAATTAAACCCAAAGGTTGAATCTTTTCTTGGGAACAAACCGTACAGATTTAACCACAACATACGAGATAAGTGTGTTTAATGTAGAACTAAAATGGAACAAACATGATCAAGTGGTGCATAATAGACCAAAAACAAAATAATGTTTTATATACTTGGAATAATGATATAATCTAAATTATGCGATTTTTCAAGAAAAAAAATTGAAGTGTACTTGAAAACCATGACTGTAGTGCAGAAATTCCGCACCACACAAATTCCGCACTCACTGTTATAAAAAGTAAAAACTTTGCATCCACCAAATGCTCTCACGCGTTACACGCCCACTATTTTATTCACAAGACATTACGATGATATGATTATCTGATGGTTAATAATAAAACTCATGCAGACAAGCAATCCCATTAAAAGAAACAATAAACAAAAGCCTGAATCTTCTTCTTTTTTCATCTTTTTGGTTTTGGTTTGTGTACTTACTAATAAATATATGGCATATCACTTAACCAAACTACTTGCTACGCACAAAAAGTTACTTTCTAATACTGTCCACTCTCTGTATAGCCGCCAACTTCTTCTTCTTCTTCAAAACCTCTAAACCCTGCTTTTGAATCCCATCCAATCCAGCTCCCGAAACACTTTGATATATAACTTGTTCGTCTTTCTACGTGAAACGTTCTCTTCCGCTATTGTCACCTGCATTGCTTTCATCCAAACAGAGAGTTTCAGGCTTGAGTCGAGTCCATCAGTTTTTGGCTATGTCTTTTACAACAATTTAACTAGTATACCTTTTGCGTTTGTTCTTCAAGACCGTGGAAGAAGATGGATTGCTGTGCCAGTTCCTCTTTCTCTGATTGATGAACCAATTGTTTATCTGCTTTAGCTGCAAACCCGTCTCCTGCACCAGCCTCGCCTTATCCTCCTCCTGCAAAATCAATATTCGATATGCTCAGCACTGTTAGTACTTGAGAGAGTATCAAGTCAGAAAGTGATTTGGGATGAGACAGAGAGAGAGAGAGAGAGAACTCACAGTAGGGTAAGGCCATTTCGAATGAGATTGCCACCATGCTTTGAGAACAGAGGTGGTGTCTCCTGGTAACTTCCCAGCTCTTCTCTTCCTCAGTATCTCCTCTCTTATGTCTACTATTTTCTCCTTGTAACCCTTTTCACACCAAACCAAGCTTCTACATTGTTATAATCATTCAATGTAATACCAAAATACTGAGATTTCTCGCGTCGCAAACAGTTCAATCCATATGATTCAGAAGATATGTAAACCGTATAGGCTTCAGAAATGACTAATATTTTGCTTATTACCTGTTTGAGTTCATGTTTGAGTTCTTGTCTAACTCGTTCCATCAATGATCTCTCGCTCTCAGTAGGAATCAGAGGACCAAACCCCAACACATCTAAGCCTCCATCGAACATATTAGCATCGCTCTCTACTTGTTCATCTTCATCATCCGACATTGTTGCTCCCATGCCTTCACCGGGAGACACTCCTATCTCACCAACAAAACACATCGTTTAATGTCCCGATGAAAATTGTAACAAATCAAAAGGAGCTTATCTTTGATTCATGCAACAGCTCAAAAGAATTTCTAAACCAAAAATGCTTAATGTTGGGATATGGAACATTCTCACCTGTTAAGCTTTGAAGAGACTGCTCAATCTCCCAGCAAGCCATCACAGCTTCCATTGCATGAACACGCACGTGTTGTTGCAATTGCTCTTTGAATGAGCACAGAAGCAGCACATAATGCGTCTGTTTTATATATAGCACAAAACATGAATTGAACAGGATCAAACACACAATAATACATTGACAAAGAACAAAATTTTGGAAAAGCTCGTTAAAAAAGGAAGGAGTATAAATTTGAAACCACCTAATTGTACCGTAACAAAACTTTAACACCCGCATGACTTATCTCTGCAACTCTTTAAACTTAACCATCGCCATTATTATATCATAAGCTAAGCTCTTTTCTTTAATGGTCCCACAAGTCTAGATAATGTAAAAATTCAGGATTTTTTTAAGCTTCGTCATTGTACATCCCCAAAAACAAGCAATGATTTTCACTCAAGAAAAACTAAATCCAAATTGTAAATTGAGTCTGTTGTTGAAACTTGAAAGCATAAGCCTTTCTTCTTCCTTCTCTAAGTTACTAAAAATTCAGCTAAATAAATGTTCAAATCGTCAATAAGACGGAGAGAAATAAATCATAGAATCGAGAAGTACCATGAACTGGTCAAGCTCTTTGTCGTCGCCGACGAGTCCTTGACCGGCGCCTAAGGCGGAGTATTTAGCGACGACGTGCTGTGACTGCGCAAGCTGGGCGTCGATCCTCGGCAATTGGTCGACCGGCGTCGCGATTCTTAGACACGCGACGTGCGCCGACAGAAGCTGCTCGTAGAGCGGATGGGAGAGGATCTCCGCCTTGTGCCTCGCATTCTGCCAGCTCACAACGCCCTCGACCACCGCTCCTCCTCCGTCGTTCTTGTTCTCCCCGCTCTTCATCTCCCCGCCGATCATCGTCTCCGCTCCTCCGGTGACATCGTCGATGACGTCTCCGACAACGGCAGCACCGGAGGCGGCTGCGGCGTTGTTGTTACTTCCGGTTCGTTGGAGGAAGGAAGATGAGGAGCGGGAGAGCCACTGATTAGCGGCGGCTGCGGCGGCAGCGGCGGAGGAAGGAGAATCGGAGCTGCTTGCGGCGGTAGTGTTGGCGGTGGCTGTGTGGAGGTTGAGGAAGTTGTTGTCGGAGCGAAGAAGCGCCGTGTTGAGCCAATTAGGAGGCGGCGCTTCCTGGAAATGTTGCTGCTGCTGTTGCTGTTGAGGAGGCGGAGGCGGCGGAGGAGGAGGTTGGTGTTGGTCGGTGAAATGATTGAAGGAGAGGTCCTGAGAGAGATGGTTATGGTGAAACGCCATCGTTTCAGTGACTCTTTTTTTTTTCTTTCGAATTTCCTGTTTCTGAGAGGGAAAGATAAAGAAAGGGGGAAGGTGAATCTCTGCTTCTATGACGATTGTTTCATGTTTCAATTATCAATCCACAGAAACTTTTTATATTTGTTTTTTTATTTAATCGAAAAAGTGACAGAGAAAATGGTATGTGTGTGTATGTATATATCTGAATATATGTGGGTGTGTGCAGACTGCACAGAGCTGAGAGATGGAGACGGACGAGAGAAGACCATTTATTCCGATGATTTATTCTCTTTATTTTTTCTTAGAAATTATCAAATAATTGAATTTATATTTAGCAAATAGCCAAAAAACCATTGAACAAAAATAACACTTGCCGCGGGAGATACTCATTTTCATGAAAATATTTTCACGATACATTTATATCAATATTAACTTTACATGAAAATACCAGAAACAAAATTCAACTCACTTTTTTCTATAAAAAAATTCTAGCTAATTCATTTTTTCCTAAATAATTTTAATATATATATAGTAAATGAAAGTGATGTCACCTCGTATTATTCATTCAACCGGTTAAGTGTTTTAATTTCTAAGAAAAAACACTGATTTAAACTTTGAGAAATTCCTTGTAGTGATTTTATGGGAAAGAAACGAAAAACTAAACCCCTCATAACCTTTCAATATTTCGGGACGTATTAAGCAAAATTATTATAATTACCAATACAATAGTTGCGTTTGAACCCTTGAATTATAAGTTTAGTTTATCTTATGGTTGACAAAAATGTTTTTTGCCAATGAAAAAAAAAAAGGTTTCTTCTTTTTCCAATCACTGTGGTCCACATATATAGACCAAAATAAATATAAAAGTCAGTGACTAAAATGAATAAATAGAAAATTAGGTCACGGAAAAAAAGTAATTAAAGAAAGTAGGTCGTCATGGACTAATCCGAGTCGTCCATTGTTAGTGGCGACTGGATTCATTGTGATCGGACGGTGAAGAAAGGTCGTTGTTGCCCCGTTCGACTGTGTTTTATTTTATTATATTGTTGAGGATAATAAATGTATTTTCTTTTTTTAAAAGAGCTGCTACGTGTTGTGTTTTCAGACGCAACGTATCTAGATGAACAAGCGCGTGTGTCATACACTCATATTTTTACTGCCGGACCATGCGCTGTATTTTTATCGCACTAGGCTACAAACATAACTTAATTTATATACATACACACTTTTTTTTTTTTGCCTCACGCCTTCACCTATCAATATATTAAAAATCTTACCTGTTAGCCGACCAAAACTTAAAAAAAAAAAAACATTTTTTTTACTCTAAAACGTCAACGATTTATAGTAAATTTTAAAGATTGTTTCTGCATTTTTACGTGGAATGTGAATATGTACGATCACCGACGAACACTTCATTACGAAATTTTTTCTTAAAAAAGTTTTATAGATTCTCTACAAGATTGTGATAGAAGTAGTTTATAGAAGTTGATAACGCTTTCAAATCGCTAATTAAGCAACTTCTTAAGACGTGTCGACTAATGGTACAATCATTTCATAAATCAGTTTATTTTATTTAAAAATTTGTTAATTATAAAGAAGGTCGAGCCACATGTCATGTTACTCAACAAAAAAAGCCGAGGTTGTCCCTAACCACACGTGTGAAACTCTGAATTGAAACATGGACAGCCCGCGTGAATGTATGATACATATAGTCACAGATTTTACCGTTACGATAAGTTTTAAGTTAGCGTCCATGCATGTAGCAAACAGAATTACAGAAAATAAACAACTGGTGTAAAAAAATCCTAGAGTCACATGTATACATTACTCAATAATATTTTTTCTCTCGTACTCAAATCGTTCGTACAATACGCTGAATTTAGATGGTAGAACTACAATCGTAAAAGTTAATAGAATATAGAAGATCAAATGGTGTTTAATCAACAGTTTTAATGCAAATTTCATAGCGGAATAAAATATAAACTTTCCTAATATTTTTGAATGTATGATAATACTTTTTTTTGAGTTGTTCAATTCAGATGGTAAAAGAGTTCTCTATTCCTTTTCACTTTCTTTATGAAACGGTAATACTAAATTTGATGAGTGTATATGGAATACAATGTACATGTTTACTACTCTATTATTTAAGTACTATTAAATTAAAACAAAAAATATTAGAAAAAGTAATTAATGATTAGTTTCTTAATTACTGTGAAAAAACCCAAAAAAATTTAAAATTAGGAACAGAGGGAGTATTAGTTTGTCACATTTTCGTATAAAACTAAATATTACAATCGCAAAAAACATTAGCTACTGCCGACGACAAGTATTTTCTTGACCACGACTAACGTTTTTCTGCCTTAATTTTCTCTTTGCTGTGTCTCCTGCTCCACCCTTTCATTTGTATCTCTCTTCTGCCCTTTTTTTGGTTCTTTCCGAAAGAGAGTAACCTTTCTCGTTCGACTTGGTTTCTCCATCCATGATTTATTCGTCCTTTTATTTTAATCTGAAGGGTTTAAATATCGAAAATACTATATTATCCACTGAATATTCTACAAGTGACTCATGCTTAAGTTAGGTCTATTGAGTTCTTCGGATACAAACGCCAATTGGATAATGATAGAATAATCTAAAGCGACGCGATACGTACCACCCCCGTAAAGGTTGGAGCGTGCTTTCCACGTCACTTCAAGGAGCGTGACGAAGTCACAAACTTAACTACATTTTTAAAAAATCATAAAAATATTAAAAAAGCAATGACTTGTTGGGCAAAATATGACAAATGTCTGCAAAACCAACATTTTCAGCTAATCAACCATAGAAATATATGAAATTTAACATGAAAAAACAAAAATTCAAATACAACAAATATAAAAAAAAAATTTACTTGAAATATAATGTACTATATATTGAAACCTTTTTTAATGCGTTAAGCGCTTAAACTGATCATTTAGCGTCTAGAGTTTTATGTTTGTTTGACTTCCATAGTTGGCGTATGAAGATAATAAAATTAAACATATAATTATAAGTTAAAACACGACTATAACAGTGAATAAAACTAGTGAATACTTTAAATTCGGTATGCGACACTCATTTTTCTATTTACTAGATTGCTTACAACACTCCCAAAACTTAGTTTTTAATCGTATTGATTCTGCTTATCACTACGGTTCCATCACAAACCTTTATAACCACATATATTACTAAATGTGTGGAAGATATCACAATGACTTTCCCTCTACGTGTGGAAGATATCACAATGACTTTCCCTCTAGGTAACGGCGACGGAGGAGATAACCGGTCGGCATAAAGCAATGAACCGGAAATAGCCGGTGATAAAGAAATACTACTAAAAAGGGGCCAAAGGAGAAACTAAAAGGCAGAGAGAGAGGGGACCATAAATCACGTCGTTACTCGCGGGCCAAAACACAAAGGACACGCGTCAATACGACGTTGTCTGGACCACATATGGTCCCCCCCAAAGCAATAGCATGCGTTTTGGGATAAGAGAATCCCAACCGTACATTTGGATTGATGCAACCCCGAATAAAGAAGAAGAAGTTGATTAAAAAAATGTAAAATGATGTCCGAAGAAAATAGTAACAGATACGACAAAATAAAATTAAAAATAAAGCAATTAAAAATAAATTAAACGTGGGGACCAGTCCTAGATTTTTTTCAGACTTAGGCTGACAGCCGCCGGCTTAATGAAAGCGGAGGGACGGATTTAACCCCAACAAAGAAAAGATATATCAATAATATTTTTTAAAAACGTTTTGAACGAAAAGATATACTTATATATAATTACACAAAAAGCAAATATATGTATTTGTGGGATCCATATAGCGCGTGGGGTCCAGTTGTTGGTGACTGGTGAGGGGTGAGAAGGTGTTTAAATAGCCAACTGTTTACCTATCGCCAAATGGTCCCCTGCCTACTTTCCCACAATATTCTTCATTTAAAAGAAAAGAGAAAAAAACAATTGTATTTCTTTAAGGTAAAATCAATTTCGGGTCTGACAAAAAAACATTTCCATGAAAGATTTCAAAATTTATTAACTCTTCTATCGTCTCTGACACGACATTCAAAAAAAAAATCTCTTTTTAAGAAGCTTTTTACTTTATATCATAAATCAAATTTATTATGTTAAATTTTTAATATGTTTAGTATTTCGTTCAGTCATATCGAATTACTACTCCAGCTAATAAGTTTGAGTTAGTTAAAAAAAACTATAAAAGAGTATAGTATATAGTTTTGGTACTACTCTGGATTCTATTGTACTTACTTAAGTAGATGACACATGAGGAGACAATAGGCAAAGGATTAAAACTTTATACAGTAGTTTACCGAAAAAAAAATATATATTAAAGAACTCATAGCTGAAAAAATACAAAGAAAAACTATGTATGTCTTGGGTGTTCGATGATGATGAGCTTGAAGATTAATAGATTTGTCTATAATTCTAACTTGGTATGTTGTTAGGGTTTATCCAGAACGTATTGCGCATTTCAATTTTCAATAAGGGATGCAATTAGGTAATGGCAAGGTCGGTGACTAAAGAACAAAATGATTTGCCTTTGGATCATCCTAATCGAGAGAGAGGCTTATAATTAAGTCGTTTACTTTTTTTTAATGGAAGTGTGTCATTTTCACAACCTTTTGATCCTTCTTCTTTCTTTCGCTCTAAAGCTGAACACATCCACACAATTTCTCACAGGCTGGGTATAACGAAACCATAAATAATTTTGAGGGAAATATTCGGTCACTATTATCGCAAGTAAAAATATAATATTTTTTTAAGTTACGAGAATAATTTAAAAGCAAAAGTTGGCAATAATACCCATGCTTCCTGTTACTGTAACATACTCCTATTTTACTTACTATGCAACAGTGAATGCATGATACCAATATACAAATTTGTATATTTTATATTTATTTTGTGGAATCTGACTACTCGAGATTTTACGATTTAAAAAACTTTACATGTTCCAGTTCAGTTTCTATTATTATATACATAAAGCATGCATGACCTTGTGGTTGTGAAATATATTTTGTATTTAAGACAATCCAAGCTTCATCTAAAGATCAAGTTAACGCAGGATTGATATTCATGATGACTCAATCAAGTGTACATCAACATCTTGAATCACTTGTTGTATGGAATATTCAATGTGTATGAGTATCCCAACTTAAGCACTATACTTAGGTGTTTCAATTCTTACATGCTTCTCTTAAGAGAAAAGATCTCCAGGTTCATGTGTGTGTGTGATACGGTCGGTAATGCTCGGATGTCGGTTGGTCGGGTCATTCTTTACATGCAAATGTTTCTCTACCGAGATCATGAATATGCATTGGTACAATAAGTTATTAGTGAATTGACATCTCTCACTCTCGTTATCATCAAGGAGATCGATTTAGATACAAGAACCAATTTTAGATATGAACAATTTCTCAAGATGTTTCATTTGAATATGTAATCCATAAGAAGCCTATTCATCTATTAGAGATTATTTGTACAAGTCCTTAGTCTGTATATAATGTGTGTGAAAATGTGAGAAAATAATATGTATATAGAGATCTTAATTAAATTGCCGACAGCTGAGGAAGCTATAGAGTTTTTGTCAAACGAATTAGTTCGAAATTTTAAAACGTGGGGTAGACTAGAGATGGAAACGAAGTGTAGCTAATTGAAAAAGATTTTGAATTAAAACTTGTAGATAATCTATACCGATCAGAATTCAGAAGCATTACTATAATTTGATGGGTGTAACCTACCGTACACACAGACACTGATATACCCTTTGTCAAAGCCAAGTCTCATTACTCATGTTGGTCTTTATTCATTGCAAATAGTACATTTTGACAACAACATCTAATATACATATATATTGCAGAGAAAATACTCATCCGTATATGTAATAGACACGAAGTACAAAAGAAAAGAAAACTATATACTATAATAGAACGGATGACAATTCCCTCAAAACTCTTAGTATCCAACAATTCAAAATTATTATCTTTGATACACAGACCCCAATTTTAATCAATAACACTCCGCCCTCTTCTCTAATTTGATATTTAAATTGATTCAAGTGCTCTAATTTCTTCTATATTAAGATCAATTTGCAAAACCCAACAGTTCTGTTAAAATGCAGAATCAAAAATGCCAAAGGAAGATAATTGAAATTACATTTACTCTATTTTTTTACATTTGGTTTTGGTTTATGCGCAACAAAACGTCAAACAAGAATCCAGACAAAAACAGTTTTAATCTGAAATCCCAACATTATTGATATTATCCACCTTTTTTTAATATATATTTAGGTTGTTTCCAAAAAGTTAAATGCAACATGTTTATGGCTCTCTACTTTATGTATTATTTTATACTACAATATATAATTAATGAACAAAAGAAAGTCCAGTTAGGGGCCTACTAATCTACTTGGCCGGGAATGGAAATAAAATTTCCAGTCCGAGCAAATTAAGCAGAAGGAAACATCGGACATTGACGAAACGTATAGCTCAAAATCATGTAATATTTCAACATTAGATTAAACTAACAATTAGCTTTCACAAACAGTGAAAAAAGTAGAGGCAGAAAGCGGAACAAAAACTATTGATCTTAGCTGTTCTAACTAGTAGATAGTACATGTAAACTTAAGGAATGTGAAAAGAGAAGCGTTGAGTTAGATGGATTATATAGAAGTCAAGAGGAATAAGACATATTGTATGCTCCTCAAATTAAAACCCTCCAACTTAGACTGTTCCCAATGAAAAGTGGACCACCAAAAATAGAGAAAAGCAAAGAGAAGTAAGTATTTTCATTAATATATTCAATTCTTTAAGAGAATGGACCACTCCTCCACTTTCTTCTTCTTTCATTCTCAATGCTTCTGCCTTTGGCCATACCATACCACACCCACATTGCTTGCTTACTTTTAGCTATCAATTCCGAAACATTAGAGTATCTTAGGCCATTTTCTCCACCCAAAATCGGAAAGAAGATAAGCAACATGGGGCAAAGATTCCAGCTGGTTCTTCTGTCGTCAGTTAGGTTTCAAAGCATAATTTTGATATTGTCCACAATGACCTTGGTCAAGTTCCAAGACTAAGTCTTTAGTCATGAGTCTTGGTTAGCTCAAACAAAATTTAAACTTACCCGACCTTAAGAGTTATTGGAGGCCTCAAACGAGCTAATAAGCCTATCCGTAACTGTGACTAAATGTAAAAAAAAACTTAGGTGGCAACATTTGAGTTTGGGTCATAGGCATATAGCTTGGTGCCGGTCCAGTTCCAAATGTGTTACTTATTATTGATCTACAATGAAACATCTCTATTATGTTTTTTGGGCCTGATCGGTAACAACCGTTTTTAACGAGGTGACTGTTAATAATTGGAGTAAGATGTAACTTTTTTGCAATGTAAAATTTAGAATCTTAATTTACTTGTCAAATAATTATATAGTGTTGGTTAAAAGTGAAAGGAAAAAGAAAAAATTAAATAACTGGTCGTTTCAGGCCAGGGCCCATGTCATTCTCTTTCTTTTGTGGGTCGAAATAAAAGTTTTTTTGAGTCGGTCTTAGGCTTATATTTGGGTTTGAGTCTTATTTTTACAGATTTAAGGCTAAATCAAAATAGGACTTTCTCCCCTTTGCTATGCTGATATAGACAAACAATACAAAGTGAGTTTTTTTTTTCTCCCCTTCATGCTACAAAGAAACAATTAAAATTCTGTTCATCTCTTTGTTTTCTTTATCTTACACATTGCTTATGATCTTTTATTAGAACCACTCCACAGAGGAAGAAACTTCCTTGATCTTTTGTCGTTTCCTCCGAGCTCCTGCGTGGCCGACCCTTTTCAAAAGCTGAGCCAACAAAGATGATCAGATCAGATCAGATCATTCTGATCGAACCAGATTCTCAAACTTCTCATGGTTTAAAGTGAGCTCCTTCCTTCACCTTACAAAATCCTTAATACCATATAGTGTTGTTCCCACACCCAAAGACGAATAGTGTTCACCGGTTTCTTCACATGGCATTATATTCAAATCTGGTAGCAAGAAGTTACCATTCGCACTGCAATTCTCATCCTCACCCAAATTACCACCTGAGAGACAAGTAGAAATCTGTGTGCTCAACTTCCTTCTCTTCAAGTTCTTGCTCTCAATGCATCGCGATGCAATGTCCTGTTTTATAAAAAAAAAAAAAAAACACGATAAAAAAATTCAAGATCCGAAAATTTGCTTGCAATCACTCAAGAAAAAAAAAAATCAAAGCACACAGTTTCAAGAAATGGGTACCTTTCTGCTCTGCAATGTATTGACATCAAATTCCAAGTCTGCGGTTACAAGAACCTTTGTAACCTGCGATGAAACAACAAGAATCGTTCAATAAAAAAAAAGTTGAGTCACAAGAAACAGATGTTGAAGTCCCCACACAAATTTCAATTTTGAGCAAAGGGGGTCCCATGTGACCATAACATTAAACAGCAACGCGTCTTTGAGGTTGATAACCTAACTCTTCTATCCAAAACTAATCTCTTAACTCCCAAGAATGATTTCAAGAAAGCAAACAAATCTAATTGCTTAAATCGTTCTCTATCCAGTACAAGATGACAAGAAAGCAATTCAAGATGACACTAAAATATGAAAACCAATCTTTGTCATTCTTCAAAATATCCTCTGGTTATATAGTCAAAGCCAAAAGAAAACTATGGGGTCCACTGTCACAATGCCATGAACAAAGAACCCATTGGCCCATCACACAAACAGTAAATCTTACTAAGATCCAGATCGTGATTATTAATTTATTTGCAAACAGATAAAAAAAAATAAGGGAAAGATCAACGTATCCAACGTTTAATTGGGTAAATTATGTCTGGATAATTCCCCCTCTTGCTAGTTGCTACCACTCAAATCAACACCGAACAAAAATAACAAACTGACAAAAACGGCGACGTATCCCCTTCTTTTTCAGCCGCCTTGGGAATGGCCAGAATACCCTCACTATATGTCAAACACAGAGAGTTTTTGATTTTTATGCAAAGGGTGCTTTGGTCTATCAGCTCCGGAAGAAGAAGAAAAAGGACGTCTAGTGAAATAGTGAAACAACAAAGCATGAACATTGAAATGAGAAACAAAACTACAAAAAAAATCGTTCGTGGATTTAGAAGAATCTTTTTTTTTTAGAAAATCTTTGATTTCACGCTGCAAATTAGAATTTAGGTCGAACGCTGTAGCCGGAATCAAGAGAAGTTGAGAAATGTCGCTGTCAGGCGAAAACGGAAGTGAAGAGGAAGATTCCGATGAATCGAAAACGGAAGTGAAGAGGGAGATTCTGATGAATTCAAACAGAGAATGGTTGAAATGAAAATAATCGAAAACGGAGCAACTCCTCGATTCTCACGTCGTCCACCACAGATGCGCAGATCAGTGAATCGGAAATCGGAAAAAAAACGAGAAATGAAAGGGAGAATATAGAGAGAGGAGCGAGGTACGAACCTTGGATCTAGATCCGACGCCACTGATTCGGCGACTAGTGGCCTCGTAGCCGTCGATGTAAGCAGACGGAGAAGAAGAAGAGCCACCGCAACCGCCGCTCCAAGAGAGCGGTGTACTTGGACTACATCTCGAGTTTTTAGCCGATTCAGCTTCTTTTCTCGGAGACCGAGACCGAGGCTGCTGGATTCCCCACCGGAGCGCCGCTACAGTCGGATTCGCCAACAGAACAGGCGTCACTTTAGCTTCCTTAAGCCTAACCAATAGCTCCGCCACCACTTCTCCGTCTCTCATCGCTGTCTTCGTCCAATCATCTGCCGCCACCATCTCCAAACAGTTGATGCCTCTCAGATTTCACACTGACGAAAACACCGAGAAAAGCAGAAGCAAAGCGAAAAAGATACTAATTTTGAGAAAGAGAGAGAGAGAGAGAAAAGAGGAGAAAAAATTTTGGTTGTGAGAGTGATAAACTGATAATAAGTTTTTTTTTTAAATTAATATACGATTTGTTTATTCGATATTTAAATTCAATTGCTGTATAAAATATGAGTACGTGTGGAGTTGTGGGAGGGTTAGGTGGGACCGATGATGCTTGACATGGCAAATTAATACAAACTGTTATTCAAATGTTACTAATTTAAGATTCGCCTCAAAAAACAAATTACCTAAAATAACATATAAGAAAAACGCTTGAAATAAACTTTAGAATTTGAGGATAATTGTTTTCATTCTAATGTAAAAGAAGAAGGAATCACTTTCTTTTAATTTCATTACGGAATATATATATATATTTGAAGTTAGAATGCAACTCTCTTTCGTTTGTATCACTCACGATTTACAGAAATTAACAAGATAAGAACACGAATGATTGTAATTCCTCTCCATCACAAACCGTAATCGTGAGTAAGTCTCCGCAGATCCTCCTGCAAAATCCACTAATCACAATCTAAGTTCTTAGTATCAACCTCTCTGATCTTGCTGGTCGTCGTCACAAAAGAAGAGCAGCCATAAACATTGAGAGAACTTGGGCTGACTTGTAACCGCTTTTAACAAATTCTACATGGGCTTCTCTTCATGAGGCCTCTCTACTGGTCGAATCCAATTTTCTTTTTCTAACAATTACGAGTTTTGGTATTGGGCTAGGCTTATTGAATACGTATTGATTTCGTCCTTGACTTCCAACAAGTCGATCACCAAGTTTAGTTTCTCATGTGGTTTTTATATTTTTCTAGTTTTTCAAAATAACTAGAACTCAATTAATCTTTCCAAAATGAAGAAGGTGTTTAAATCTACTACATATTATTTGAGAAGTAACATTATTAAAAATAGTTGATTTGTCAACACTACAATTAAAATTAGTATTTTTAATTGATGACATGTAAATGTGACATGTTAAACTTCCTAAAATAAATGAAATGTTTTGATTGGTTGAATTAAAATTATAAAAATTATGGAATTAAAACATAAATACACTAGATTATATTTATAACACTAAAATTAACAAATTTAAATTAACATAAAATAATAATTATTATAATTTCAATTTTGTACATATATTCATAATTTTATAAAATATAATTACAAAATTTTTTCAATAATATATATATATATATATATATTATAATTTCATATAAAAAATGAAAAAATAATAGTAAATTATCCAATAGGATAGTAAAAATTTAATATATTAATAATACTTGAAGTATAATATATTTTTATTTCAGAAAGTTATTAATTTACAAAATATAGTAATAATATCTAAACAAGTTTTAAATAAACTAATTATTAAATAATAGAATTTAAATAAAATACAATCATCATAAAAATAATTTAAAGAATAAAATGTTAAAAATAATAAAATAATTAACTTTTATTGAAATTTAAAAAAACATAATTTAAAATAGTTTTTATTTTCAAACCAATATTTACTAAATGAATAAAGTATATACTAATTATTATTTTATAATATTAATAGGACTATATATTTTTCTATAACTTTTATCATCTTTTTATTGTTGTTTTCTAAAATGTACATAACTTATGTTACCATCTCATCTTATCTCTTATCATATTTTAAATAAAAATAAAATTTTATATCATATTTATATATATATAATATACATAAATTTATTTTCATGTTACATCAAAAATTTGAGATCATAAATGAAATAAAAAATAACCGAACGAAAAAATAAATTAAAATAAGATGAAACAAACCTGAATAAGAAATAAAAATTAAAAGTATATAAAAATAAATTTCTTGCACTTTGTTTTACAAAATCACTTAAAAACGTTTTAACACGTAAGAGCCATATTTTGACTTTTTTACAAATACACGTACAAGCATAAATATTAATTGTGCATTAGTTGAAGTCACATGCGAACTTTTTCGTACATATATTTTGTTAAGCTTGATTACAGTCTAATTTTTATTTAAATTATTATACGTTTTATATATTTTTAAAATATTTATCTATTCTAAGTGTACTGAAGTGGTTGGTATTTCCGCATATGCATGCTAACCGTCTATCCGCTCTTAGGAATAAGTAAAAAATAGTAAAAACTATTTCAGTTTAATTTGCAGTAAATCAAGAAAAAATATATTACATGTGTATTTGCAAATTCATATTATGTAAGACGCAAAAAAGCATATTGTATATTGTGTAAGAAAAAATAAAGCATATTATAGAAATATTCAAAAATATTATAAAATTTTAATTATTATTTAATATAACTTTTATATTTGTGATTATATATTATTACAAGCATTATAAAAATAAAAAGTTTTAAAATACATTGGTTTCAGAAAGAAGTTTGTAAAATATTAAAACAATATATATACAAACATACTAATGTTTGAGAAAACTAATCAACACTTAAATATTACAATTAACTATGTATATCAAAAAAATTATACTCGCACATATATGCGGACTAACCACATAGTAGTTATTATTCTTTAAGTTTTATTTCTATATTTATTATTCCTTGAGAACTATTTTTAGATTTCCTCTTAGCCTTATAAATAAGGATATAGCGGTTTTTGGGGGCTCGACCGCCAAACTTAACATTATAAATTTACTAGTTTGCGAGATGGTTCGTCCTATCCACAATGAACATTTCAATATCACTTTGAACTAATACTTTGTAATTAAAATAATTATATAATATTCATTTCATGAACAGTTTGCGTATGGCTGTATACTGACGTCTGGCGCTGATATGGGAGGAGAGCGACAGGAGAAAATAAAGTGGTAACATGAAAAATGAAAGAACGACACTATCTAACACAAAGTCAATAGTTTCATCTTCCATATTCAACTATTTAGAGATTCAAGATTTTTAGAAAAAACTCACATCACATGGCCTACTGAATCCAAGTACCTCTTCCATATACACTGTATACCATTTGCTTGTATTCGCACATATATATTAAATACCAATATAAGAATATTCTCTATAGAAAATATAACAAAAGTATCTATAATAAAAAAAAAAATCTATTAAATATAAGTCACGCAGAAATTGCAACAAAATCGTTTGTCTTAATTGAGCAATGCATACGGTTTAACTGACAAAACTATTCGTTTTTTTTTCCAATAGGTCCGGAAGATTAGAATTAGGCTTCATATCACAATTTTTGGTTATCTGGAAGAAGAACTGTCGTATAATAAGTATAATAGCTAGTTATTTCTTACGCAAAATGACTACAACAATACAATATTGGGATCATGCAGATCAGAGTGATTTGATATGAGATTTTAATATATTATAAAAAGTTTGAAGTTTAATTTCAGTAGGAGCCAAGAAACGTATAATTGATGTTGTTGTTACTTGTTATAAAAAGAACATTTTAAGAAATGAACGAAAGGCACATGGGAACGAGCCCAGAGATGGGTTTTTCGGAACATATATAGATAACATTTGTTTCAAAATATCAAGATACCCTCAGTCCTCACAAGCATTTTAACTAGTGGCTGTAACAAATGCTACGAAGGCGTCTAAATGCCAATTAACCTGCAGAGACTGTTTTTGGAGAAGATTATTTTAAAAAGAAATTAAAACCTAAACAGATTTAATGTTTTAGTATAAAAAATCACAAAAAATTGTTTTCTATCATCAAAAGAAGTGTTTGTGGCTAACATGTAGAAGTATAGGAAACAAAGAACTTCAAGGGATGAAGAGATAAGGAGGGAACAAAGATCCCATGGAGTGCGGTGAATGGGAATGACAAAATGTCTCTTTCCTTTTTGGAGTCAAATGTAACATTCACTTGCTCTCTCTCACTTTGCTCCAAAAACCGCGTCCAGTTTAATTATTTTCTTCTCCAACTTCCACATCTAACTTCTTCTTCTTTTTTTTTCTTTCAAGTTTTAGGTTTTTTTTTTTCAACAACATTTATGGAATCAGGATACTGATACAAGTCAAAAGACTACTATAAATCTTAGACTGCCTAAATGCCAATTTTTATAATTAAATTTATTTACTATAGTTTGTAATCTATTGACTATTTGTAAAATGCTATTGTAATCCAAATTTAATCTATATGCGATAAATATGACTCAACATGTAAATTTGGGAAAAAAATAACAAAAGCTTTAGAATGAAATATATTCTACGATACTTTTACCAGTTAAAATGAAAATGAGACAATTCTGTTGTTTTTTATGCGAAATTTTAATTTTGTTATTTTGCATGTTTCTTTACATGCGTGATGCCTCAAACGAAATAAAATTTTGTACATGTTAGGAATCAAAGACTTTCTGTAAAGTGGTCTGTAGAAATAAACTTGATTTTCAATATACGTATATCTTATATGTATAATTTTTTGATACACAAAATTTTGACATTTTGAGCCAAATCTATTAGACGAATGGAACAATTTAAGCGTAGACTACACGATCATGTAGCAAATTTGATTATCTTACTTTGGTTATCGTAATTTGTAATTCTTGATCTTCAAAGTCATGAGAAATCTTATTTCATCGAAAAACGATCTAACAAGTGAGGAGTTTATATCTTTATACAGTAAGTGGAATAAAAGTCCTAACAACATTAGCAACATTCAAAGCGAAATTTAAACTAAAATGACAAGAGTGGTTAGTACTTGTGGTTTTATATTCACTTTCTCGGCTGTTGGAAAGGAGACGACGATAACAGATTGCATTGAAAAGAACATATAAGATTTGGTAAAAAAAACATATAAGATTAATGTTTGTGAGATTTTTTATCCTCCGACAAATAATACACAAAAGGCAACAAATTAATAAAATTATATGTAAATATTTTGTTTTCTTTCAGTCTTCGAAATTATAATATGGAGTTTTTTTGTTTTAATATAATATGGAAAATTTGTCAACATAGATTAGATTCTCTTGTACCAAGAACATAAATATGCATAGATAACACCAAAAGATACTGCATGTGTGTATGCAAACTGAGGAACAACGTCTCTGAAACCTCCAAAGTCCATGTTGAATAAATTTCGTCTGTTATTATAAAAATAAGAATATATATATATGACTATGTTTTTATACGATCAAAATTGCATTTGTTCTGTAGAATATTAGTTTTGTTGTGACCTTTTGTTGAGGATTCAATGGACCCTCCATATATGCATGTGACTGAGTGTGGAATGGGACGAGAGAATGGCGGTCTTTGATATGGACGTAACCATATTATTTCACATTTATCTAACAATTTTTTTTATACATAATTAAACTGTTTGTCGCATTTTTTTCTTGCAATCTAAATAACTATAATCACATTTTATCGTTATAACTTAAAATTATCTATATTTATAAATAATGAAAACGTTAGCTAAAGCTCATTCAGTCCAATACATTATTAAAATCAATATACTGATTTTTTTTTTTATGCTAACATCGCATTTCTTCACATGGAAAGTCACTAGTGCACAAAACTATATGCTAGAATACAATTCTCTGATTTAAGTGAAAGATAAATAATATGTAGGGGCAATGAGGTAGATAGCCCAAAAAAAAAATGTTCAAATTACCTCTTCTTTTTCTTCATTTAGTAACTATTAACTTACATTTTTTCAAAAAAAAATCTAAACCAAGCATTTTACTAATCAGTTTTTCTTTCTTTCTAGTATTAAGTTGACTTAAACTTATCCGAACTTGATCTTACAAGACTTATATGTACTACCATAATTTCACTTTAATGTGAACAATTTTAATTGAGCGTTAAATTTTTTTTGGACATTGTTTAATCACAATTTTCTCGCTTAAAATTATTAGATATTTTCAACGAGTTTTCTGAAACTCTACCAGCTTTTGAAAAATCACGGTTTCGGAAATCGCAAAAATGTTACTTAGAAGAGTATTATATATGCGCCTGGGTTATTTAAATTTTAATAATATGTAGATTGATTTTGGTAATATTAGTTTATTATACAGCTGAATGCAGAAAAGGACATGAATCATAATCAGCCCATTTCATCACCCATGTTTATATATGTCGTAATGGGTCCCGCGTCACGCGTTTACGTCCTAGGCCCCACTTATTTATTCATAATACTTGTCTGATTTTCCCATAACTTTGTATGTAGTCCCAAAACAACTAGTTTGTATATGTTCGACTTTCTCTTTTTCTCCAAGTCGACAAAACCAAATTAAGATATGTAATATGATTCACCAAACATATGATGACCCTATCTATTGTCTAAAAAGTAAAAACAAACAATTCAGACATATGTAGCGAATTGATGTAATTCTTTAATATTTATATTCAGTTCACATGAAGTTTTGCTTAATCCATAGGAGTTCGTTTTGCTAGCGTGAATTTCGCGTGTTTGAATTAGCAAGCATGAAATATTATAAGATTCTACTTACATCAGATACAAATTTATAATGTTGTTACCTTGTAGAATCTATTTGAATGAATCCCTTATTTAATCATGTTTTGTTTATGCCATGCATTTTGAGATAAACAATGAATGCTTTTTCTCTTTCTCAAGTATGGAGCTTGAAACTTGGGAGGATAAATACTCACACGTGCGAAAACAGTAACAAAGAGACAAAATCAGCAATGCAACTCAAAAAAAAAAAACAGTCTTTGTTAGAGCTTTGGACTCCCACATGCTTTGCTTTTTTTATTTGATCCTCCAAGACAATCACACTAAGTCTCAAATGAAGAAGCAGTAAATAAAATGATTATGTTAAACTTTATAAAATTACATTATCCCTCTCAATACCTATATATCACCATACGATGTACATTATCATACTCCCATTTGGTAAAGTCCATAATTTAAGTTGCTGATACAACGCCATCGTGAGGGATAAATTACTTATTATCCCCTTTCTTTCTAACTGACATGGATGCAAAATATATATATCAGCGACTCTTTAGCTATTAGGGTTAAAAATGTTTAATTATTAGGGTTAAAAACGATTAATTATTAATTAAAGAGTTAATGACCTTCTAGTGGTTAATTTTTCTTGTTGTCATAATTGCGGTCTAAGATTCTTCCATCAGTTTGTTACTGGATTGACCCCAGTAATATAGGCACTTGTCATTTTGATGGATCCATTCTAACAGCACACTCTTTTGCCCAACATATTCTTTCTAACACCTTTTATTCCAAATTACTATTGAGTCTAAAAGGATATGTTGTCTAAACATGGAAAATAAGTTTTAACTTGCGGTATGAACCTGACGTTATGTTGATGAACCACTTAATTTTGTTTTACAAACTTTACAAAACAAAAGCTAAATTGATAAAAAAAAAAACCATACATATATATGAGAATACACAGACGAAGTGGTTAGAATATATGTGATATTCCCTATAAAGTATCATATAATAATAATAATTGAATCTATACATCGTATACAACGAATTTGATTACTCCTACGAGTATCACCTAATAAACTGTACACTCAGAAATCATGGGTATGAGTCGTATGACTACAAAAACGTTAATGTTTGTTTCAATAATTACCTTAAAAAAAAGGAATAAAATAGATGATAGTCGAAGTTGGTTTGGTGTTTGATTGGGTCATTATCGAAGCCTCACATGGGCGAAGAATGGTGATGAAAGAGTCTCGCTAGTTATCAAACTATTTTTTGTGTTTCCAATTATTATTGTTATTATTATTAATTAGTTGTGGAAAAATCTAGAGAAATTTGGCAGTATCTATGATATACAGACATGTAGTGATGATCAAACCCATGTGAAAATGGGTACAGTGGGTTTGAAGTTTCACCGCAGCCAAAATCTCTTTGGATCCAACTTGTTCACCTTTGGAAAATGAAAGAAGAAAATAATACATATATAATATATGCTATATGTAGGGCAGTTAATAATTTTATAGCTATTAATTTATTCTTAGCTAAAGAAATATCCTCTCACAACCTAGGATATACAGTTTATATAAGTTAGGATTGAACTAAAAATATCATCGAAAATAAGAAAATTATACATTGTTAAAAAAATTATACATTTTTTTCTCATGAAACTAAACTGTACTCTAAACAAAAACTATTGAATATATATGTATACAGTTTTGATAAAGTTGTTTGTGGATAAGTCTTACAAAAAGTTTTTTAATGAAATTACGAAAACACTGTCCAAAAACATCGTTTAAAAAAGTATTTTCCTACATAAAGTTTAGCATGTAGTTTGTAAGCTTATAATATTCACTAAAAATTAGACAAATATGTGAGAGTATTAGATAATCCATTTGCCCATGTCGCGGCAACTACGAATACAACAAATGAGCTAAAATTTAAGAATACATAATGATAAAATAAACATATTAGCATATAGTATAGGTCTCTCTCTCTCTCTCATGTTTCTCATCAAACAAAATCCATGAGATTTTCTGGGTCGTATTGGTAATGGAGTGGGTCCCAATTAGGACCAAATTGATTGCCAGTTAATTGCCAAAGAAATTTAATTACCACTAAAAAAAAAACATTTTTCCCCTCTCTCTCTCATGAAGAGCCAACAGTACTTATAGCCACCCTTCACTCTTCCAAAAACGCTCCTTCACTTCCATCATTCCTTTCATCTCTCACTTTCTTCTTTACATTTTCCACTGAAACACTTTGATACTCACACTAAACTCACCTGAACCTTACTCTAATGGCACGACCACAACAACGGTTCCGAGGCGTGAGACAGAGACACTGGGGCTCTTGGGTCTCCGAAATTCGTCACCCTCTCTTGTAAGCTCTCTCTAAATTACCAAACTACCCTCGTGTTTTTTTCTTCTTCTTCTTAAACCAACCAAGAAGTTACCCTTCGACCTGTATTCTTATTTGCTGATATGTTTTTGTTTTCCTCTTCTTTTTAGAAAAACAAGAATCTGGCTGGGAACGTTTGAGACGGCGGAGGATGCGGCTAGGGCCTACGACGAGGCGGCGAGGCTAATGTGTGGCCCGAGAGCTCGAACCAATTTCCCTTACAACCCAAACGCCATTCCTTCTTCCTCTTCCAAGCTCCTCTCCGCTACTCTCACCGCCAAACTCCACAAATGCTACATGGCTTCTCTTCAGATGACCAAACAGACGCAAACGCAGACGGAGACATCCGCAAGATTACGGCCGTTATCCTTGGCGGAAACTGACGGCGTCATGAATGTGACGGCCGAGGGAAACCAGTATAACAGGGGAGGAGTAACGGAGACGATGATGACGGAGATCAAGTGGGAAGATGGAAACGCGAAGATGCAACAGAATTTCAGGCCATTGGAGGAAGATCATATCGAGCAAATGATCGAGGAGCTGCTTCACTACGGTTCCATTGAGCTTTGCTCTGTTTTACCAACTCAGTCGCTGTGAGAGACGGCTTTGTCGTTTTAGCAGCGCATTCTTTTTTTTTATAAAAAAAAATAATTTATTTTCCTTTCAAGAAAACGGCGTCGTTATGAAGGTAGTAGCTTAGAAGAAGAAAAAGGGTAATTTCAAGACATTTGATCTGGATTGGCCTTCTTTGAAAGAAACACTGATTCTCGTTTCTACAAGAGCAATCGATCATAATGCTATGTATTGTATAGTATTATTTTTTATTATATATAAGAAGATGTTATCAATTTCGTCTTTGCATCATTTTCTCCATGTAAACCAATTGAAAGTGATCATGAGTATCGTACACGATATATTATGTTTTTGTGTTCGTGTGTGAATAAGTGGGGATTTTATGTAGTGAAAAGATACAACATTGGGAAGAAAGATATCAAACGAATAGAGATAGAGAGAGATGAATGAGAGTTTGTTTGGAAGGGTTTGAAAAAAATTGAGTTAGCTTTTGGTTTTTTGTTCCATGCATGTTCTCTCATTTTTCAACGGTGGGCCTTATTTTTCTTTCCTTTTAAAAATATGTTTCCCTCTCTCTTTTTTCTCTTTTTTTTAATTTAGGATTGCTGCTAAGTAGAAAAAAGTCTCCCTAGCTGTATAAAGACCCAACTTTTAAATTAGAGAGATTTTTGTTTTCTACTTTTTTTTTTGGTTCAATACCACTTATATATACTTTCTTCTCCGTTCTAGAATATATGATGTTTTAGATGTTTCACAGATATTAAAAAAATAATGATTATTTACTTTTTTAAAATACTTTTTGTATGTTTATTAATTTAATACTAATTTTTTATATTTTTTATCCAAAAAGTTGTCTTAAAAACAAAAATATATTAAATATAATGTAGAAAATCAATCTTTATGAAACAAAATAAAAAACTCAAAACATCATACAATATAGAACGGAAGAGTATTAAAATAGAAAAACAATGGTTAGCTATACGACTGACTAATCAAAAGCAATAGAAACCTCCCCACCTAAAAGAAGAACATATCTGACACAAAACCCAAAATTTAAACCAGAGCCCAAATAGATAACCCGACTCGAACATGATCTAAACTCTTCGATTTGCAGCGTTTGAGGAAGAAAAAGAAGAGATTTGTGATAGTGTTTTGTCCTGTTATCAGCGTTTTGAAATAATTTGTTTGGTTTTAGACAAACAACATTGTTTTATTATTGATGTAATTAAAATGTGTGCAACCGCTGTGTTACTGTATGTACATAACGTATTATGGATGCTTGCGATTAATCAACGTAACCAATCAAACCGTCAAATAATTATATAAGTCCATTACCGCACTACACCATTTCTTCCAAACAATTTTGAACACAATCAGTAAAAGCTCCAGCCACTTTAATACGGTAGTTCCACTCAAGTCGATGAATTTTTCTTGCATGCATATATACACGTTATCAGTTGTTAGCACAAGACAAAGCAAAAATTATTAATAATTTAATTAATTAGTGAATGATAATTCTGTATATGTTTAATTAGCTCGATAAAACCAGTACACATGCAATGCATCTAAATTGCAGCACACAAAATGATTTGACGTTATGAATTATTTGGAGGCAAAGATTTCTTGTCCCTTTATTTGCATGCTATATGTCGAAATTATAAATCTAATAATTCTCAAAATAAATAAAATAAATTACTGAAATTATGCATATATAACAAAAACCGATGAAAAATTTCAATAAAAATGTAGTTTTTGACGCTGTGACAAAAGCCTATATAATTTAAAAGGTTGCTAAAAAGACAAATTATTTAACTGTTACATTTAATCTCACATAACTGCTACTTGGGAAGCCAAAAGAAATTTTAAGTTCTTTCAAAAATCTATTAAAATGTTCCGAAATATTACTCATAGTTTGTATGCATGCATGCGACTACAGTTTTTTTGCAACAACTGGATAATGACAACGTGATAATGTACCTCTGAGATCCCATTAACATAAAAGAAAAAATAACCAGTTATATGGGACAAACTTTCTCAAACAATAATATTATTGAGGTAGATTAGAATCTCAACGTAATATTAGTTTTTGGATCGAGGTCTTAATCGAATGGAACTCATAATGATTACTGTACGTACACCTGTTTGGAAATTGATTTTGTTTCCCCACAACCTTTTTAGAAAAGTAAGTAAATAAATAAAGAACAAGGAATTATAAAAGGGTAGTTTTATTCTAATTATTCTGTTTTCTTAAAGCATTTTGAAGCAGCAAAGGTGAGATTTAAAATAATGGGCATGCTTGTGAGTTCATCATCATTACTTCTTTGAACTTCTGTGACCCTTTTTTTTCCTTTGAGGAAGGTCCTTTTCTATTGCCCCAATAAAACTTTCACTGCACTCACTAAATAAATAAAGAATAAATAGGTAAAAAGTAGATATTCAGATTATATTTTGTTCATTCTTGTTATATCATATTTATTTTTGTATTTATCTCGTCTTAGTTCATATATGATTATATGTATGATTTTGCTCTTGAGCTTTTTACTAAAAAACATCGCTAATTAAATGTATTGGTGCACACGTTGTTAGATAAAATCCAAAATTATGATTTATATATAGAATGTAGTTTATTGACTACGTTAATAATGCTGTGTCATAACCAGGATTTATATATAGACAGTGAGTAAACCAATTGGGTGTCTTTGTAAGTTGATAAAGATTACATCATTAAGGTCAACTAATTAGATCTCTAGGATTACATTCATTTGTTTTAAAAGGAATCGTCCCGTTTCGACCACACACATTTTTACTATTTACATGCACGTCCTTTTCATGCTTCTTTCTTTGAACTCGGCATAAACTTACATGTAGAGAAAGTGAGAAACCTCATTCTGAAATTGGTCCGACACTCAAAAATCAAAAAAATTCTTAAAATTTGAGAGACGAACATTTTTAGTCGTACAATCAAAATTATGAATGTGGGAGATAATTGATTTAACATATACATACAAAGAAGGAACATACTAATAATCTGTATCATCTCCACATTTATTTTTAGCTTTGGAATGATTGACAGTAAATTTGTAAAATTTCTTAATGAGAAACTATTTTTTTTTATTGATAAGTATAGCCAAAAAGTGACATTAAAAAACTTTTCAGAGTTGTTGACAACTAGTTTACGACTGGTTTTACCCCTATGAATCTTCTGAGTGAGATACCTATATAAATAAATATATACTTGAACATATATAAACACATATATAAATATACAATAAAATTGAAAGTATATATACAACATATATAGACAAACAAAATAAAAATAAGGAGGAAAGTGGTCAAAGGCAATAATGGAGAAGAGAATGATGGTGTTGAACAATGTAGAATCTCATGTGAAGTTGTTGGTTTAAATAACGACCAAACATGGCCTTATGTGGTGAAACCATTTTCACTAACATCCAATTCCTCATTGTTATATACTTATATTTAGTGTTCTTTATTTTTATTTCCGGTTAGTTTATTTTTATTTATTGTGGTAGGCTTTTTTTCATCATTCAATTTTTTAAAGGTGTTTTAGATCATCTCTAATGTATATCTTTATTTTTTACTCCAAAATATATTCTATTTTTATTTTATTATTAATGTTTTTCATTTTGAAAATTTAAAAATAGATTTTATTTATTTGTTGTTTGTAAAAATTTCATAAATTATAAATCAAATATTTTTTAAAGAAAGAAAAATTATATAATATCATAAAAATATAGGAAATTTTCTCCTCCATCAATTTTACTCAGATTTTTTTTTGAATGATTTTGGTGGATCAAAAAATAGTTTACTTAGAATTTTTTTGAATGATTTTGGTGGATCAAAAAATAGTTTAAAGAATTATTAATCTTTTTGTATTTGTTGTGTTATGTTGCTTATATTATGTGCATATATATGCGCATTTGTGAACTGTTTGTTTCCTCTCTCATAATTTGACTTTCATATACACTGCATGTATGCGTGTGTTCAATATGGATTGCCTTTATTTCGATGAGCCCATACAAATATGCAACGGGGCCACTTTTACGTTCATATATTAAATGGGAATATGACAAGTTCTTCTGCCTACGATCCTTTAACTCAAATGTTTGTCCTGACGTATTTATTTTGAGAAATATACAAGTGTGCATCAATCTGAACTAGACTCATTTGGTAATCCAAGTTTTAAACATATAACGTAAAACGACAATGTGATCTAAACGGATACGTGTAGACTAAATTCATCTTTTTATCTCTTTGGAACGTCTAATAAAGCTGAAATGATACAGATAAGTTTAGCTATTGGAATGATATAGAGAAAATTAGTTAGTACAGAATGATAAAGAAAGGACTAGCAGCTGCAGAGCCCCCACGCAAAGAAGACAATACATAAATTGAGAATTAATCCAAAATTTTAAGTTTTATGTTTTGTTTAAAAGAGTGATTTAAAATGATGATGAATAGCAATGAAAAAAGAGCTGTAGTCTTACTAATAATAGTTTGGTTTGGTTATATTTTAGTCGTTAGTTATCTATATATAAAAGAAGACTCTAATTAGACCTTGAGTTATGATAAATATATATCTAAAGATCAATATACGCTGCATGTCAGCGACTCAGCATGTGTAAATTTCAGACTTGGATCAAGGTATCATCAAGTTCTAACAGAGTTTGTGTGAATATCAATTTCAATTGTTATTTGGCTTAAATTTCATTAAAAAATAGTAATTACGTACGTATCTTGAAAGCACTCCACGAAACCACATACTTGGAAGCATTAGACGCAGCCACATATCTTGCGTCTCTTTTCAGTTCGTAGAATCCCGAAAACAAATACAATAATTCACTCACTTCATCTCTCTCCTTCTCTCAGTACTGTAAATTAAACTCTTCCGCCACAAAGCTTTAGGTAATTACGGGTCTCTCTCTCTCTCTCTCGTTATCGCTAGGTGTTTCTGATCTCTTGTAAATATCCTTATTTATTAGCTTACTCGATGGTTTCTCTGGCCATGCGATTTAGGTAAGTCTTCTTTTCTTGGCTTAGGGCAAAGTGATGGATATCCGGTCCGAATAATTAAAAATAAATATGTAAGTTACAAAAACATGAACAAATAAACATATTGAATTTTAGAAAGAAAAAAACATACAAAAATGCCAAATTGATTTTCATAACATTCTTGAAATTATTTATTGTAGTTAAAAAAACACCTACTCTAATTATTGTACTTGTATAGAGTTTATTTTTATGATATCTTGACGTATAATTCTAGTGGATCCTTGTATCTGGAATTCCGAATACACGATTTTTTAGACAGGATCTCAATATATATTTAGTCCAGCCCTAAACACAACATTATAATTATGTAATATATAAGTAGTTTGAACTCTACTGCTATAAAAGCAATTTACTACTTTGAGCCAATGAATTTCTTCTTCTATCTCTGAACTTATAATCTCTCTTCTTATTCGATTTGGCAGGGAGACAATATGAGTGCGTGGTATGTCATTGTTGCACTCATCGTCTTTGCATCTATTCTCATTGCAAATAACATGCGAAAGACAAAGAAGAATCTACCTCCTGGACCACCAAAACTTCCTATAATTGGAAACTTGCACCAATTGGGATCCAAACCTCATCGTTCGATGTTCAAGTTATCTGAAAAATATGGATCTTTAATGTCCCTAAAGTTTGGAAATGTGTCGACCGTTGTGGCATCGACTCCAGAGACAGTGAAGGATGTTTTAAAAACGTTCGACGCAGAGTGTTGTTCACGACCTTACATGACTTACGCTGCAAGAGTTTCATACGGTTTAAACGATCTCGCCTTTTCTCCTTATAGCAAATATTGGAGGGAAGTACGAAAGATGACGGTTCTTGAACTCTACACCGCCAAAAGGGTAAAATCGTTTCGACATATCAGAGAGGAAGAAGTTGCTTCGTTCGTCGATTTCATCAAGCAATCTGCTTCACTGGCGAACCCGGTTAACTTGAACAACAAGTCAATGAAACTGACAGGAAGTGTGATTTGTAGAGTCGGATTTGGGATGAATCTTAAAGGGAGCAAACTCGAGAATACTTATGAGGAAGTCATTCGAGAAACCATGGAGGTTGTGGGGAGTTTTGCAGCAGCGGATTACTTCCCGGTTATTGGTAAAATCATCGATAGGCTCACGGGTTTACATAGCAAATGCGAGAAGGTTTTTAAAGCAATGGATACATTTTTCGATCAAGCTATAAGGCTTCATCTAGAAGATGAGAGTATTAAAGATGATATCATTGACTTGCTTCTCAAAATGGAAAAGGGAGAGACTGCACTTGGAGAATTTCAACTTACTCGAAACCACACCAAAGGGATTCTTCTGGTACGTAGTGATAAACTTTTCAAACCATATATACCTTTATTCTTCACATGTTCCATTAAAGTTTAATCTTGTCTTACTGATTATTACAGAATGTTCTTATTGCTGGGGTAGACACATCTGGCCACACAATAACATGGGTGATGACGCATTTGATTGCAAACCCAAGAGTTATGATGAAGGTGCAAGCTGAGGTGAGAGAAGTGATCAAAAACAAAGACGATATCACAGAAGAAGATATAGAACGACTCGAGTATCTCAAAATGGTGGTTAAAGAAACATTTAGGATCAACCCACTTGCGCCACTTCTAATTCCAAGAGAGGCTTCAAAGGATATAAAGATCGCAGGCTATGACATTCCAAAGAAAACATGGATCCATGTCAACATTTGGGCTGTTCATAGGAATCCAAACGTTTGGAAAGATCCGGACGCTTTCATTCCAGAGAGGTTCATAGATAATGAGATTGACTATAAAGGTCTAAACTTTGAGTTGTTGCCGTTTGGTAGCGGAAGGAGGATGTGCCCTGGTATGGGCATGGGCATGGCCTTGGTACACTTGACTCTTATCAATCTTCTCTACCGTTTCGACTGGAAGCTTCCAGAAGGAATGAAGGTGGAAGATGTTGATCTTGAAGAATCATATGGACTTGTCTCTCCTAAGAAAGTTCCACTTGAGCTTATCCCGGTGATTACCAAGTGGACTTGACTTTATAATATCTTAGGTTCATATATAAGCGATGTGAATTATCTTATACCATTACCATCAATAAAATGTTTGTTCAAAATCTATCGTTTTAACCACAAACGTTAACACAACTTACTTGGAACCATTTCTACCGAATTGCGAACAAAAAAAAAGGAAAGGTATAATTTTACTAGGAACTAGAGCTAAGCACTCACAGTTGGTGATGGAGGAAGACACTGTCTTCTCCTATCCCCTCTTCTGCTTCGGTTTAAAGATCCCGACGAAGAAAGCGAAGGGCCAGGCGTAAATCTACTTGACCTGCTCCGGAGTTTCTTCTTCTCTGCTTCCGGAATCTTCTCCTCATTTGATCTCACCTGCCTCACCGTTGTCTCGTTCAGCTCTGCCGGCAGAACACAGTTGCAGAACAAACCTAAAGGCAGACATAAAGTTATGAGCTTTTTGAACTAAAAAACAGAGTTTATAAAGTAAAACAAAATGCTCTGTTCTGTAGCTTCTTACCGAAGCGAGCAAGACGGTTAACCCAACTAGGGATAGATCTCCGGGTCAACTGAACACAAACGTCGTTGCAGAAGTGATTGCAGTTCTTTGTGATGAGATGGTAAGTGTTCCCGCTATAGTCTTCAGCAAGTTTCTCCATAAAGGCACGGACTTTCTCCGGATCCAAATCTGTTCTTCCGATCAAAATCGACTTCCTGAATGTGAAACCCGGACATTGCTTCGGCTCCACCTCGAAAATCCCCGTGGTCGAATGATCGTGAGCTCCGAATCCGTATTCAACCCCATGAACTAACCAAACAATTGATGAACACACAATATCAATCATCTCTTTTTGGAAGCAAACAAACAAAACTATACAACTAGATCTCATCAATAATAAACATCCTTCATTTTTGGACAGACATATCTAATGATAAGATAACTCACAAATCAATTAATAAGTCGCATAAAACCTGGTTCTGGTTAATTTAGTCATGGAAAGTCAGAAGAGCTGATCCAAAAAAATGAGTCAAAAAGTTTCCAGTTTTGGAATCTTATGATAATGTGAAACGGGTCAATTAAAAATTTCTACAAACAAACAAAGCCAACAAACTTCAAAACTATAAGCTTCTTACTTCATAGAAACAGCCTAAAATCTCTATTAAAAAAAACAGCTAAATTGTACTCTTAAAGATTGAGCAATTTCAATCCCAAGCTTTTACCAAAAACCCACCAATAATTTCCGGAGAAAATCTCAATTTTTCTTTTATTTTTTGGTCGGAAAAAGCAGAGAGAGAGAGAGAAAAAGGCGATACCTTCAACACCAGAGTGGTAGATCCCGAGTCCTAACCAGTAAGCGTAGCCATTAATGGGTGTGAGATCGTATACATTCAGATAAACCGGAACCGAACCGGCTTTCTTCTTCCGGCCGGTCACCACCACCATTCTACACAACATCTTCTTTAACCGACGAAAGAAGAAGCCTGGAGACTCAAGGGTCTTTCTTTTGAGAAAACAGCGAATTGAGAGAAGAATCTTATTCCTTTTCCTGATCTTTCTTGCTTGTTATGTGTCAATCTGAGAGAGAAGCTTCTGATGTTTCCTTCTTTCTTAAAAGCTACATTCTTTTCTGCTTTCTGTCATCCTTGGCTCCTTTTGTTTTTAGGGCACATTTTGTTAAGCCCCTAATATTTTACTTTCTTAACGTTTTGCCCCATTATTGTCAATTGGAGTTTTCACGTCAACGACGCCAATATGAACATAGATTATAAGTTTAGTCGTATAAATGGTAAAAAATCGACCGCTTATAGGTTTAGATGTCTGTTTGGCGGCCAAAAACACGTGAGCTCTCCAATTTTAACCATTATGATTAAAATATTGGTCAAGACAAAATCAACGTCTTTTGTCTAAACGGATATTTTTGTTATCAATCTAACAAAATCAAATTTGTTGTAGCCCTAAATTATATTTAACTACCTTTTACGCAGAAATTAATGCTTTGGGGATTTTCGATTCAAATGTTTTTGTAATGAAATTGAAATAAATTCACTTAATCGGGTTGAATATATTCAAAACTTAGATAAGCCGGTTCAACAGTGGATCACTCGCGATGATTGTGTAATAAAATGTGAAAGAAGAGGGTAAAATAGGTATATGATATAAATATAAATCGACAAAGCCACGAGCCATGATGTCTCAGGAAGTGCGTCTCTGTGTAAGTTTTAAGCAACCGATGACTAGCTGTTAGGGCGTGAAGTTGACAACATAATTACGCTGACCACTTGAAAACTTACTGATTAAACTACTAATCTGGCTTTAAATTCGATAAACATATTTTTTCTACTGAATTAATATAAACTAAACATGTATAAAAGCGGTAACATCAAAAGGATTAACCCATATTGAATCCAATGTTCAGTATGGTACTAATTAAGATCTCGTTTTTTGGAATGTTTAGTCTTGTTTCATGATTTCAAAGAATAATTCACGGATCCGTAAATATACCACCAAATATTATAATATTGAAAGGTACGAGTTGTATTTTGAAATTTGAGCTCCATATTTTTTTGTTCAAAGCTTTCATATAAATGTATAAAATTATAAGAAAAAGCTGATGATTTCAGTATTTCATGTAAAACAATCAACAAAAAAACTTTATCTATAATGGAACTTGACTGGGAACTTAACATAAGATATATTAATGGACTCTTCACAAAGGATTTAGCCGTATTGTGTAGATTGGTTTTCATATATACGAATATTCGATGGAAATGTATCAGATAGTAGACAAAATAATTGTTTTTATAAAACAAATAAAAAAAATCAGGGATAAAGCTAGTGGAATGAACATTATAAATTTGGTTTTATAGTATTTGATAAGTTTTTTTCTCCCACCGAATTCTAAAGATAAATTATACTATCATTTTGGAAAGGTAATTAAAATTAAATCAAAGAATGGGTTGTTCTTCTTTTATTTATTGTCAAATAGATTTGAGTTTTTCAACACTCAGATGTTTTGTTTTGTTTTTTGTTCAACCGTTTTAAAACTCGATATATATAAATCCTCAAACGTAGCTTATAAAAAGGTCAACACATCTATTTAATGACTTCGACAATTAATTAGCCATGGCCATTCTTGTAGAACGACTTTAAAGACCAACAACTTGTGTACATAATTATTGTAGTCAACTGCTCATGACGATAATTATTATAAGTATATACTACTTTTAGTCATTATTTTGTCAATTACCATGTTTATCATAATCAATACAACAATAACCCATAAGTTTTTTAATGGCTTGACACATCAGCATTTTAAAGCTTTTAGAAGATGATACTTCAGCAAAAAAAAACACCAAATAAAACATTTCATTAATACAAGTCATCAATTTATTTTAACTTTTAAATTTAAACCCATTAAAAACTCAAATATTTTTATTGTTAATTTTAGTTTTATTTTTTGGTCAAGCCCAATCCCAAATAATAACTAACAGCAAATAAAAAAAAATTGTTTTATTTTTTTAACAAACCCAAATAATAAATAATAATAAATAATAAAATTAAATCTTTGTTTTATATTTTTGCCAAACCGAAACTCAAATAATAAATCACAGCAAAAAAATTAGAATTTCTAACTATGTGTTTGTTTGATAGAGACGTATATGATTGAAGAAAGTGTAGACTCATCATCAACTATACTTCCATAACAACAATGCAAAAAGCGTTATGTTATAAAAAGCTCACATATCAGCAAAAATTTGAACCAATAAAAACATAACAATAATACATATAATTAACACACTAATAAAATCAATTTACTATTTTGCTTACCCATTAAAAAGGCCAAAGTTTACAAAAAAAATGGAAAGCGAAAGCAAATGAGGAGAAACTCATACCACCACAGCTTGGAGATTTGCATTTCTACTGGTTACCGAGAACAAATTTTCTTGGATTTGGTGGAAATAGAGAATTTCTTGGTTTTGGTAGAAAAATGTGATTTTCAGTTTTAGTAGGAAAACATAGTTTCTCGGTAATGGCGGAAAAAAACGAATTCTCGGGTTTGGCGGCAAAATGTGAATTTTTGTTTTAGTGAGAAATAAAAAATTTGATTTTGACGAGAAAATGCGAGGGAAATGCAACTTTTTAATTTTGACGAAAAATACGATTTCTCGGTTTTGATAGAAAATACAATTTTTCGACTTTTGATGGATAATGTAATTTCTTGATTTTTGCGGAAAAATGTAATTTGACAATTTTGGCAGAAAATACAATTTCTCGGGTTGATAGAAAAGCAAAATTTCTCGATTTTGGCGGGAATAATCAATTTCTTGGTTTTGATGGGAAATGCAAATTTTCAGTTTTTGACATATAATTTGATTTTTGGTTTTCGAGGGAAAATATGATTTCTTAGTTTTCGTGGGAAACGCAATTTCTCAGGAGATAATGCAATTTTTGTTTTTTGCGGAAAATTGTAGTTTATCGGTTTTGGTAGGAAGGCGTGATTCTTGATTTGACGAGAAAAATAATTTTTTCTTGTTTTAGTGGGAATAGACGATTTCTTGATTTTTGCGGGAAAATAGTTTTTTGGTTTTGACGGAAAAATACTATTTTTTGTTTTTGCACGAAGATGAAATTTTTTGGTTTTGGTGAAAAAACTTGATTTCTCTGTTTTGACGAAAAAACACAGGTTCTCACAGGAAAATATGATTTTTGGTTTTTGAGGGAAAATGCAATTTCTTTGTTTTGGTAGGAAAATGAAATTGCAGGTTTGACGAGAAAATGATTTTTTTTTGTTTTGGTGGGAATAGACGATTTCTCAGTTTCGTGGGAAATAATTTTTTTTGTTTTGTCAGAAAATACAATTTCTCGGTTTTTGTAAAAAGATAAAATTTCTCTGTGATAACTTTTCAAGTTATAAAATGTTTATAGTAATCAAAATTGAATTATTTAACTTCAATTAAATTGATATTTCAACAATTCAAATAAAACTTTCTATTTAGTTCTAAAGTAATAGTAATGATTTT